TTGCCTTCAGGTTCCCCCGGGCTTTCCTCTCTCCCTTTTCTCTCGGCCACTCTAACCACACCCTCACTTCTCCCCAGCCCACCACACCTCTGCCTCGGCCGTGGTGTCCTCCACACTGCTCCGAGGCCCCCACACATCCCAGCCTCAGTGCTGGCTGTCTGGCCTCCCTGCCGGACTCTCCCGGGAGACGTGGCCCGCTTCTGCACCCCCACCATGCCTCCACGGGGAAGGCCCTGACTCATCACAGCCATTCAGAGCTGCCCCAAGTCCTGCAGCGTGCGGCACCCTCCTAGGGGGTGGCAGGAGAGAGAGAACAGACAGCCAAGGAGCAGCAATGGTGGATGCTGAGTGTAGGGGGTGGGCCTCAGCCCCAACCAAGGAACCCCAAGTAAAGAGAAGCTGTGTCTGCAAACAGTCCCTTAACCACGCCCCACCTCCCAGTTTGGTGGCCGCACCTCCAATATCCCCCACTAACCATCCTGGGGCCGCCGCTGCCATACGTGTCGCCCGCATAGCCAGGGTATGCTGAGTGCTCGGAGCGGGGGATAGGCAGGGGGCCACGGGAGGACTCTCAGAGGAAGGGAGACCTCAGCCGAGCTCTGAAGGACGACCAGGGGTGCCCTGTGGGCAGAGTGCCAGACCCTACGGTTGGGTGGGCCAGGGAGTCTGAGGAACGCGGTGGAGGCCAGTGCAGCTGGGACCCTGAGCACAGGGAAGGAGGGGAGCTGGAGCCCCGGCAGAGCCCGGGAATGAGGATTCCTGGAGGCCACTGCAGCCCAGACTCCCCCACTCCACCAGGACTTGGGTCTCAGCAGCCCTGCTGCCTCGCCATCAGCCAGGTCCAAACGTCCACCCAACGGAGCTCCTCAAACTCAGCAGCCACCACTGAGCCCAGCCACCCCCAACCCAGGCACAGAGGGGCCGTCCCCAGGGTCACTGGGAACTCATCCCCTGCCCTCAGCACCAAACCCTACACGAATCTCCCCCTGCCCAGCCCAGGGCTCTCGTTCTGCCCTGCATGGAGCCTTCAACATGTCTCACCTGGGCCAAGTCCCAGCCCCGTCACTGGCACCCGGCTTCTGACCCAGCACCCAGACAGCTGTCAGAGTGTCCTAAAACCCAGTCTGGGTCTCTCTCTCTCTCACATACACACACACACACACACACACAGAGGCACCAATTAAACCCCTTTCCTGGTCCCTGATAACGATGTTTACTGGGGCGTGCTGGGTGCCAGTTTGGCTGGTACTGGGATATAGCACCAAGTGGGCCCCTGTCGTCCTGTGGCCCACCGACTAGCGGGGCAGACAGACACGAACGAAGCACACTTGTTTTGCAGATATTCAGTGCAGTTGCATTGTGTCGAGAGGATGTGGAGTGTTACGGGAGTCTTGGCTCCGAGCCCTCTGCAGACCAGCCAGCCCCCCAACAGCTTTTCCAGCTCTGCATCCACACCTCTGCTCACAACAGGCCCCCACCAGAATGCCCCCAGTCTCTGCCCATCATCCCAGGCCGCACTCAAATGCCACCTCCTCCCCAGAGCCTTCCCCGAGCTCCCCCCGGAGTCGATCATCCCACGGCCCCCACAGCTGGTCCAAGATCCCTCTGTCTCCCCCATTAGGTTGGAAGTTTCTTTTCTTTCTTTTTTTTGGGGGGGGGATTTTTTTAAGTCATCTCTACACGCAACATGGGGCTCAAACTCATGACCCTGAGATCAAGAGTCGCGTGCTCCACTGACTGAGCCAGCCGGGCACCTCAGGTTGGAAGTCGCTTAAAGGCAGGATTCTCCCCTTTTTCATCTCCACACACCTGCAAATTCTGTGTACGTACGGAGCATGGGCTCACTGCTTGTCGGCCTCAAGAAGAACATGTCGCCCGACTTGGGTGCAAGTCTTGGCCGCACTCGGCCCTCCCTTTGTTCGCCTTCCAACCCCAGTCCTGCCGGGGGTTCTGCTAGGAAAGGCCTCTTTGCGCCCACCCCCACACACCCCTGTGAGCACGGCCTCGCCCCCCCACGCCGAGCCAGGAACACAGGGGCAGAGCTCCACTTGTTCTCTGGGGCCTGTCTGGCCCGGGATGGTGGGCAGGCGCCGCTCCCCGCCCCCCCCCCCCCCCCCCCCAGCGCTGGGAGCCAGCCCCACGCTCAGCTTGCCTCAGAGCCCAGGGAGCCCCAGCCGGTGGACAGCACGGCAGCCATCCTCCGCCGAGCACCCACCCCATCACCCAGGGCGCGAGCCGGCTTGCCAGCCTGCACCGAAGCCCTTGCCTGTGGGTTCGGTGTCCAACTGTCCCCCGCACACCCTCAGCTCCTGCCTGCCCCACCCCACAGGCAGCCTGGGGCAGAAGGAAATCCAGAACAAGGCAGGAGGCACCAGTCGGTGCGAGGGTGCGCCCTGCCTCCGCGAAGAAGGGACAAGCAGCCTGGCACCTTCTCAAGGCCTCGCTGCTGTCAGCTCCCCCTCCTCGGCACACAGTGGGCAGAGCCTGCACTCCAGCCCGGTCATCCCCCCCGGAGCCTTCCCTGACCTCAAGCCCCCCGCCCACTCTACCCATCTCTGCTCCCCTTACAGCAGAGCTCTGGAAGAGGGGAGTGAGGGGTTGTGCTCGAGTGTGCCTGGCAAACAGACCGTCGGGCTCTGCCTTCCTCCTCCCAGACTGGTGGGCTTGGGCCGGGGACCTCACCCCTGTGCTTCTGTGAGCCCCTCGTGGGGCCTCACGAGCACGCGGGAAGCATGTGCCCCTCCACGCCTGATTGCCATTCCCTCCCCAGCCCTCTGCCACCCTGCCACCCTGCCACCCATCCCACGGAAGCAGCCCTGAGCAAGGCACAGAGACCCAGGGCCGGTTCCGTCCCCTTAGCCACGTGCCCAGGGCTCTGACCTTAGAATCTCCCGCTCCCCACCCTCCCCCGCTGGTCTGCCCAGAACCAGCCAGCCCTCCTCCGGCCTTCATCCCCACTCCTGCCTTGGTGACCCAGGGGACCTGTCGCTTGCTGACCACTCCCTAGGCTAGCAGCCCAGCCCCGCCCCTGGCTCGAGATCAGCAGACCCAGGTGCCTACTGCACACCTCCTCTTAAAAGCTAACAGGCACCCCCCGAGGCCCCCAGTAGCAAATCCCCCTTCCCACATCTGCCCCACCTCAGGAAATGGCAAGAATTGGGGCTGCTCTGGGCTTCTCTTTTCCCTGTCACACCTTCCTTCCTGTTGGTGATTGCTCTAAACACAGCCAGAACGGGACCACCTCTCACTACCTCCACACTGAACCCTAATCCAGGCCACCAGCCTCACGCCTCCCAAACAGTGTCCACCTCCCCTCTTGCCCCACATGCCCCAGGCCCTTCTCACTGGCCAAACCCTCCACCAGCTACCCAGGGGATCCTCGGAGACTAAATCCCAAAACCGTCAGTGAGGATCTGTGAGGACCCTGCCCTCCCAAACCCCCTGTGGCGCTGGGCCCCCAGCTGTTCCCCCTGCCCCGTAGCCTGCAGCTCCCCCCATGACTCACGGACCTCCAAGGAGTCTTTCCCAACCGTCTCGCTCAGGCAAACCCCACCTGCCGCGCTCTCAATTAATTGCTGGTATTTCCTCCATAATACCCACCACCGCCTAACATTCTGGTATTATGGGGCTGAACACACAGCCACTAACCATCTGTGAAATGACTGGGTCCTCACAATCCATGGCCGGAGTAGCATTATGCCCACTTTCCTGATTAGGAAGCCAGGCTGAGGTGAAGTCAACCCTGAGGGTCTCCCAAGCTGGTAAGCAGCGCAGCAGGCCTTAGGTTGGCTCGGGTGGGCCTGACTCGAGGCAGGGCTCTCGGCCACCAGGCTCTCCTTGGCAAGGCCTCCGAGGCTGGGAGAAGGGCCGAGGGCTCATCCTCTGAGAAGGCTCATCCGCAGACAGAAGCCCACGAACAGGCGTGCCCAAGGAGGTGACCAAGAAGCCTCAGGTACGGCAGCCCCCCAACTCCGAACTCCAGCACGAAAGGGACAGAAGAGGTGGGGAAGGACAATACAGAAGGTGCACCCCTAAAAGCCACAGGTGCATGGCTAGCAGCAAAGTCCAGTCCCAAGGCTCCCCCCTTCAAGCCTGGAGTCCAGAGGGGCTGCCCGCATCTAGAAGAGCCGTGGGGGCCACAGGCATTTGCTCTGTGCCGGGCCCTGGGCTGGGGAATCTCACATCCTTCACTCACTCCATTTTGCAGATGAGGAAGCCGAGGCTCAGGGAGATTCAGGAACTTACCCAAGACCTTTCAGCTGGGGGTGGGGACAGCCTGCTTGGGCGACCACTGCACGTTCACTGGCTGCCTGGCAAAGGCTCAGCCCCGACACCCGCTGAGCCGGCCCCAGCCCCAGACACCACGGCCCGAGGGAAGGGGACCTGATGGGGAGACAAACAGGCATGTGGAGAAGGAGTAAACACGTGGCATGAAAAGACACGCCTGACACAGGTGACAGGTGCAAAACAGAGGCTTTAATCCAAACAGCAATGAAGGCGCAAGGGGCTGGGGGTGGGGCACAAGGCGGGGGGCAAGGGCAAGAGGAGCCAGGAAGGTGGTGGTCTGGACCCTGGGAGGGAGGCCAGCATGAGGCCTCTCCTGGGAAAACGATTTCTGTGACTCTAGCCGTTCCTGTCCCGGCCTCTGCCCAGGCCATCGGCCCAGATGTGAGGGTCAAGCCCCTGAACTGTGCTTCTTGGGAGCTCCCCCTTCCCAAAGGAGATGTGGCTCCGGATAGAGGGTGGGGGGGAGTGGAGAAGGGCAGGCCTGGGCTTGGGCCAGGGAGAGCCTGCAAGAGGCTGGCCCAAGAGCAGTCCTAGAAGAAAACTCAGGACCTGGCATGCCAGCAAGCCCTCACCCAGCCCAGGCCCTGCCAATCTGCAGAGCCAAAGCCTGGGCTTGGAGGGGCCATGGCTGCCTCATCCTGGAGAGCCAGTGGGTGAGTTCAGGGAGAGCGGAGGATGTGGGGGGAGCTTCTGAGTGCTCCAGTGGCCCCTGACCCACTGCCCTGAAGGGCAGGGAAACAGGGCCAAAGGGCCCTGGAGAAGCAAGCAGCAGGGAGGAGGGAGCAGAACCTAAGATTCCGGAGGAATCCAGGTTCCCCACAACCACAGCGGGCCCCAGCCCCTCCCTGCGTCTCTGCCACCCCCTCCCAGCCTGAGAAACTTTAGAAAGGCAGGCCTCACCAATCAGCCAGTGAGCAGCACCCAGTGCCTACCCAAAGGGCAGCTTCCAGAGGCCACCCTTGTAGAGGGCGACAGGAGCGGCCATGGCCAGAAAACCCAGCAGAGCCAAAGGTCAAAGAACAGAGAAGCCAGGATGAGGCGCTGGACACAGGTGCCGCAGGCCCAGGGGGCAGCCCTGAAAAGAAGCTGGGAGGGTCACGGGCCAGAACACCCAATGCTTCTTGGTCCCCGACTCCCCCCCGAGGCTGGCCACCAGCCTCATCCTCCAGGCTTCAGAACCCCAGACACCCACCCAAACATGGCTTAGGAAACTGACCCACCCCACGGGGAGCAACTGCTCCAACCCCTAAAAAGGCAACAGGACCTAGGAAAGGAAAGCAGTGGAAACCGCAAACCCCTCCCCTCCCAGTGGTGCAGACCAGCCCAGGTCTTGCGCTGGACGGGACAGGAGAGGAAGGAGAGGAAGGCGAGGAAGGCCAAGCGTGGGGCTGGGGCCCGAGCACAGCCTCCCGCCATGGGGAAACGGGCCCCCCTGTGGTCACTTCTCCCTTCACTGTGGGTCCTTCAGCCTTAGGCCCTGGGCCTCCCTCAACCCCACGCTCACCACGCACCCCAACGGACAGCCTCTCAGCAAACAGAAAGAACAGAGGGAGGGGTCAGGGAGTGACCGGAGCTGGGGCAGGGGAGGGCAGGCACAGAACTGCAGCCTGGGTGGCCCTGGCTGCTCAGCCCCTAGCACGAGGTGACCGGATGGATGGGCAGCAAGCTCCCGAACTTGAAGTGCTGGATCACAGGAAACTTCTCCAAGCACTGTGAAGGGGGGAGGGGAAAACAGAGGTGAGGACGGCGCTGCACCCCTGTCAGAGGCCCACTTGGCCTCTCAGGCCTCCAAGCGACCCCTGGACAACTCTGGAGCCTCGGACAGGCACGGATCCCAGAAAGTGTCTACCCAGGGCCCAGGAAGGGGGCCATCTCAGGGGGAGCTCCCGGGGCCTCCAGGGAAAGGGAAGACTTCCTACCTGTTTCTGACCACCTCCTCCCATCTAAAGACCTCCCCCCACCAACTCCATGACAATCAGACCCACCAAATAATGAGTGAGGGAGAGGAAGAAAGGAAGGGAAAGAGAAGGCAGTCCAACCTCACGGCGGGGTGGGGGGGGTGGGGAGATGGGGGAGGGCAGGGAGTTGGGGACCAGAGATGAAAAGAACCCTCCAGACCAGAGGGGAGCGCCCAAGCCCAGGCCCCGGTCCTGGAGGAGAAGTATGAGGACATTTGGATACAAGCTCGGGAAGGGTCCAAGACCCATTTTTCTGCAATTTTCAGTTCTCTGAACTGAAAAGGCGTGCTGGCGAGCACTTCCCGGTAAGACAGTAAGAACCAGGTAATGTCCCTCGACCCCCAGGGCAATTCCCAGCAGCCCTGTGCACGGGGCAGCCGACAAGAACACTGAACAGGGGTATGGCCCTACTCCCTGAACCCAGCCCAGCCGGGACCTCAGCCCAGAGCTCTGGTGGAGATGGGGAGATTGGCAGGGCCTACCACAGAAGCTGGCCTGGCCCATAGGCTGCCGGGCCCCAGGCCACACACCTCGACCCTCTGACCCAGGCACTGCTTAGCACCATACAGGACCAGGAAAGGGAGGGGGGCCCCAGCTCCCAGCCTCCCCACCCCAATCCTGCTGTGCCTAACACAGGCCCTGGTCACTGGCTAGCTCTCTCGGGCAGCAGCTCCGAGCAAGGGAGGCTCCGCCTTCTCTCATACCTTTGACCACCGAAAACCACCAGGATGGCTGGGTTGGAACATGATTTACAGCTTCAGAGAGGACGAGTCCTGCTCTGTGACTGTGGTCTCAACCTCTTCCTAAGCTTCGGGGCACAAAGGTGTGCCCCGACTGGCCCAGGTCCCCTCATCTCAACAACCAGGTGCAGAAATGAGGAGGTCTTGACCAGCTGTAGGTCAAGTGGGGGACAGTCAAGGCCTGAAGGGGGCCCAGGAGGTGAGGAGGAAAAGAAAAATCTTTCTGTGTGATGGAAGAAGGATGGAGAGCTAAGCTCCGAGAGGGAGCAGAGCTCCAGGCCACAGCCAGGCTGCTGGGCCTACAGCAGAGAAAGTGGGGAGCAGGCAGGGGCGGGGTTCCTCAGGGGGAGGAGGCGCAGAAGCAGCTCCAGCAGAGGCAAAGGCAGCTGCCGTTGTGCTTATGTCATCAAGGAAGTGGTGGGAGTTTGTAAAAGGGGCCCCCCCAGGGCCCTGGAATTCCAGAAAGGGTCAAAGGTCAACCTGCTTCTAGCTCTCATTCAAAGGAAGCTGCAAAGGCCAGAGGCTTAGCAGGAGGGGGCAGGGGCGGTTCTCCGCACTCTGCCTTCAGGGACCCAGAACAAGTTTCCCCAGGGCCACGGGACAGGAGAGGGGCTGGGCTAAAGGCAAGAGGCTACTTGGGGCAAAGGAAGGCCGAGGCTTCAGGACAACAGCGGGAGGGAGCCTCTGGTCAGGCCTTCTCCCAGCTAGCAGTGCCCGGGGGTGGACCGGGCAGAGCAGCATCTTCAGCTCCGCCCGCCCCACACAGACACTTCAGCGGGAGGCCTGGATCTGCAGGCCCTTCCAGGTGCTGGTGTTTCAAGGGGCAGAAGGGATTCTCCAGGCCCTGACAAGGCCCTTGGGAAATGAGCACCAGCAGTGACAGCCCTCAGGAAAGACAGGCCCCACCACCCACAAGGGCACCGAACACGTTTGCTTCCTCACTTCAGAAAGGCAGGGGCAGAGATGCACACGGTGGGTCCCAAATCCCAAGGCCACCTGATGCCAGGCCTGGTCAGGCCTCTGTGGCAGCTCAGGGGACCAACTCCCCTCCCAGAGCCCACTCTGCCTGGTGGCCCTGGCCTTGCTAGGACTTCAAGACTGGTGGGCCTCGCGGGTCTTCCCCATGAACTGAGAACTGACCTGAAAACACAAGTCCTTTTCCTTGGACCTCTGGGAAGGGAGCAGGCAATCCCACGGGCTCTCGGGGACCAAAAAACCAAGGGGTACCTGCTAGCAACATCACCGAGATGCGGTGTTCCTAAATCCCCAGTCAGGGGGCTCCAGCGCTATCCTACAAAGAAGTCTGGCCGCCACCCAGCACCTGGGAAGGCTGCCGGGCTCGTGCTGCACCTGCGAGTATCCAGAGCTAGAGTGTCCCCCGTTTGGGGGAAGGGTACTTTGTGATCCCCTCGTGTTCCCTCAGTCTGGGCCTGCGCTGCGGTGGCTGTCCTCCCGCACCCACAGAAATCCCACAACGGGTACAACTGTTCTATTCTGTTCCTGCGGCTGCACCACCATTTGGAATCTTAGCTTGCTCCTCCCTCATCCTGTCAGGCTGGAGCAACTCCTCTGCAAGGGGCAGGTAGGGGAAGGGGGCAGGGGCTCCTGCTCTGCCCGAAGGGCCACTCCCCCACCCCCCAAGATAAGTTTAGAGTCATGCAGGAAGGACAGCGCTTCAGACCCCGAAGCAGGAAAGGCACCAGAGTCCTGCCTGTGGCGTCCGGGAGCAGGGGTGGGAGGCTGGAGGGGCCAGGCACTCCTCACACACTGCACACAGCCCCCAGCAGTGGGGACAGGTTCCCCACCGGCACCCACTGTGGGACTGGCAGGGGTGGGTGTCAGGAACAACAGGACACCCCGAGGGCAGTGACCCGGGTGCTCTCCAGGCAGGGGACAGCTGGACTGGAGGGCCCAGTGGGCTAGCCCGGAAGGAGTCTGCGCAGCCCCAGCAGCCCCAGCGAACGCTCCTCTCAGATTAGAGAGGTATGTGGGTTGGAACCTAAACACAGGATGTGAAGTCCAGAGGAAGGGGACCAGAGGGGGAGGGGGCGGAAGGGAGAGACAGGGCCAGGCCCGGTCAGTTCCAGCGCCATTAACCCCTTCAGGGCCGTGCAGAGAAACAGGGCCAACCGGACTACCAAACCACATCCAAGCCTCTAATACCCTCTCCTCCCTGCACCCCCTGCCTCCGTTGACAGGACCTGAGTACGCTTTGAGGGTAATGAAGTAGACCCAGAGAACCGACCTCCCTCCCTCCGTGGGAGAGGGTTGGCCAAGGGTCAAGAGATGGGCACCCACGGGACAACATCGAAGACCACCAGCCTGAGGGCAGAAAGAGGGGACTTTGGGGACTCGTTACTCTTGGTGAGGGGCTTCACATCTAGGCCCTTCCGTGGCCAAGGTCACGCAGCTCTCGCATTGGCGTGCACAGATGTGAAAGGAGCTAGCGGAAGGGACGGGATAGAAAGAAAATGTCTCCTCCCTACTTGCAAGAAAAAAAAGCCACCTCCTTGGTGGGGAAAAGGTGCCAAAGAGGAAAGAGGGCAGAGGACACCCTCAGGAGCTGGGCAGCTAACTCCCGGCAGGGGGAGCTCAGGGAAACCACCTCCTCGCCCTGCCTCTCCCATCTGAGAGCAGGAAGACCACCTGAAGTGATTGCCAGAAATATCTGCTCCCAGAGACCTCCCACCTGCCCAGGGATCAGACCCACCAAAGACTGAGCAGAACCAATTTGGATGGTGCCTGCAAAGCACATCCCCTTCTGTGTCCCCAAGGGAGACACAGCTGTGAGGGGCCTCTGGCCATCTGACAGAGCCCTGAGCTGCAGGGCCTTGACTCATCAGTCACAGGGCAGAGCCGGGCCTCCGCCTAGTGATTCTTTGACTGCCTATCCCACAGACAGCGACTCCGAGGCCTGCAGTGTCAGAGGGGCTGGCTCAAGATTCGGAGCCAAGCAGCAGAGGGGGTGGGGCCAGCAGCCCCAGGACCAGCCCTTCTCACCTCGGCCTTGTACATACGGATCAGACCCTGGTTCACTTTGGACCAGGAGGGCACAGCGCTGATGTTCCACAGCTGGTTGGAGTGCTCTGCAAAGGGGCCCGTCTTCATCTGGAAAAGAGAATCCACAGCTGGAGAGGCAGGCTACCTGGGAGCTCATCCCCCGGATCCCCATAGCAAGGTCACGTATATGCGCGTACAAACAAGCATGCACGCGCACACGCACATACAAACATGCACACGCGCACACAAACGCGCACACGCGCAAACGTGCACACGCACGTACAAACATGCACACGCACATACAAACATGCACACGTGCTAAAGCACATATGTGCACGCGTATATATGCACGGACAGACACGCACACACATGCATGTATGCTTCAGGACTTGGCTGCATCATCTGGGGGGGAGGGTACACACACGCACACACACGCACGCACACACACGCACACACACACACAAGTACCACAGACGGTCTATCTTGGTCTGCAAGACCCACTGGGAAAATATAACCTCCAGAGTCACCCTCTTTCTTCCACAGCCAGAAAAAGGGGGCCCGATTCCCACCAGCACCACATTCAGCAGCCTCAGAAAAATAAAATCTCAACCCAAGCCCCGGCTGGGACTCCCAGCAATTCCTACCCCTCAGCCACCGAGGGCCACACCGGCGCAGGGACCTGCTCCCATTCAGATAAACAGCAGCAGCAGGCCCCCGGGCCCTCCCCAGCCCCACACACAGGGTGGGCTCTACTGCCAGGTGCTCGGGCTGTACCTGCCACAGGCAGAGCCAGAGCCAGAAGAGCGGGTTTGGGGGAAGGGCAAGGTGGGGAAGACCAAATCCAGGCATCCAACTGCCCTCTGCGTGGCAGGCAAAAGGGAGGGGGGAAAAGAGGGGGCAGATGTGAACCGTGAGCCGGGGGCCCCTGCAGCAGATTCGGGAGGAAGGTCTGTTTAGAAAGCCCACCCCACTAGGCCGGGAGGTAAGGAAGGGACGGCATTGACAGCAGCAAAGGACAGGCTGGAGCAAGGACAGCTCCACTCCTGTCCCTCCTCTTGCCAAGAGTTTGACACTCCAGGAAGGAAAGAGACTCTGCAGCAAGCCCAGGGAAGCTCCCATGACATGAGAAACCACAGCACTGAGACAGGGAGGCTTGTGTGCCTGCGTGCACCCCTCCGCACAAGGCCAGCACATCTGTGGCTTAGCAGGCACTTCAACCCCCCTCAACACTGCCCCCCAAGCTTATAAACAGTACTGGTGCTGGCTGGGAGAATGGGGTTCAGCACCCTGAGCCCCAGGCTTAAGAAAGAGTCTGAAAAGCAAAGAGGCTAAGCTGGCAAGGAAACAGAGACTTGGACCCTGAGTGGGTGGAAGGTTCCAGAAGAGGCTGTGAGAGGAGGCGGGGAGGGGGAGAGCTGTTCCAGGGACAAAGGATGGGCCGAAAGCTCCCTCTCCATATTGGGCATAAGAATAGGGGCCCAGGAACTCATAACACCCCATCAGCTTGGCTGTAGACTCCCCGGGTGACCCACTCCCACACGCCCCTCATTTCTCCAATAAGGGCCTTGCACCAAACTGCAAGATTTAAGTCCAAAAAGCTGCCATTTGCTACTGCCACCTCCCTCCCCTGGCTAAAGTTCCCCAAAAGCCTGTCTCAACCCCCACGTTCAGTAGCAAGGACAACAGACTCCTTCCTCTAGCAGCGAGGCCACAGCCTGAGGTGGCAGATGGAGAGAGGACCCACCCTGGTGGCCGCAGGGCTTTTCCTGGGTTAGTGCCTACACCCACAGTCTTTCCCCACCTCTCTATTTCTAAGGCTCCCTCCTCCAGGATGGCTGCAGGTACCCAAAGCCTATGGGGCCTGGCCTTCAAGGAGCTTTGTTCCATCCATCCTACTCAAGCAGGCTCCACCCCCAACTACCAGCCCTCCCTCTCGCCCCACCCCTTCCCCCAAAGCTCTCTGGCCCTTGGGGACCAGCGCCAGGCTCCAGTCCTCTCCTGCACACTTCCAGGCCCGGAGAAGTTCAGGGATCACTGGAGATGTGTAACCAGTTTCACTCTGGACAAGGCCCAGTGAACAAACCACCCCAGAGGCACCCTGCTGGCTTGGTCCCACAGCATAGCTCCAGAAGCCTGCTCAGCAAGGGCCCCGAGGCCTGAGCCAGATGACGCTGGGAAACCAGAGGCTCTGCCTCGTGGGCCAGCCTCACCCATTAGGAGCACGGGAGGGGACCCCAAAAGGCCTCTCTGGCCGGCTGGCAGAGCCCCAGTGGCCCTGCCCCTCCCCACGGAAAGGCCAAAGATGCTCTTTCTCTGGAGGAGCTGCCCCCCCACACTCCACCCCGCCCCCAGGCCTTCAGTGTCCCCAGGTCTCCCTAAGTCCTTCAGAAGGAGACTTTGCAACTCTGGGAAAGGAAAACAGACGAGGGGGAAAAAAGGAATCGGGAGCGAGAAGACAAAAAAAAAAAAAATTAGCTCATTCTAGCCACAAAGGGAGAAGAGAAAGAGCGAGAACGAGCAAGCAAGCTGCAGTCCCGCAGTGACCCCAGGGGAATCGTGTGAGTCAGAGCAGCCATATTGAGCAGGAAATTACTCACAGACGCTGCGTTCCTGCCTCTCCACTCCCAGGAGAATCGGCCTTTTGTAAATGGTTCCTCTGTCAGTAACTGAGGGGGGATGGGGGGAGGCTCTGCACAGCGCCTTCCTGTCAGCTCCTTCCCTTCCAGCTGAAATCTGATCCCTCCCTTCCCAAAACTCCAAATTTAGAAGCCAGATTGAAACTGAAATTCTTTTCCTGCCTGCCCTGGGCTCTTAAAGGCGCCAGGGCTGCATTTCCTGAGGCAGCAGAAGCCCTGCAAGGTGGGGTCCCTCATCCAGGATGCCCAGGGCTACCAGGGCAGGTCCTGGGAGACGGGGAGGAGATGCCCGGTTCCATTTCCAACTTCTTGTTTTGTTTTTTCCTCCTAGTTGCACCAGCCGTCCTGAAGCCCCGGTCTCCAGAGGCAACACCGCCCCCTTCCAGCCCGAAGCCCACGGAACTCTGCACAGACCCCCGGGTCCCCTGTGTCCCAGTGGCAGGCCTTCAGTCTCCCTTGGTCAGGGTGAGCCAGGCCAGGTCACTCATGATGAACTAGGGGCGGTGAAACACTGGTGCAGGGTGGAAGGGGGCTGGGGTGGGCGTAGCCAGCACCCGCAGTGCCAGTCAGGTCTCAGCTTGGCCAGGTGGGTGAAAGGGAGCCCTCAGCCCTGCTAGCATTCAGTGTTTACCACCATGCCCAAGCACCTAGACCCAAAGTGGAAACCAGGCCTTGCAGAGAGAGTGCCGAACAAGCAAACCTCTAGGCTCTGCCTCTCTCCCAATTAAGTTACTAAAACCTTCTCGAAGTTCAATGTGCCCTTAGCGCCACCTAGTGCCCACTGCAGGATTTCCTCCAGCAGAGGAACTGGGTCCCAAACTTTAGAAAGCTTTTGGGTTTTTAGACCAGCATAACCAACCAACCACATAAAAATACAAAACTTTAACCTGGAATCAATTCCCATCTTCCCCGAGGCCCGGCCTGGCCTTCTTCCTTGTTAGTCACTGACGGGGACGTAGGGGCTTGGCCAGCCACCAGAGGGGGCCAGAACAGCTGAGCCTTTTCACCCCCACATGAGCAAAGCAATGGCCCAGCCTAGAATGTGTACCCCTTCTCCCCACCCTGCTCCTCCCGCTCCTCCCAGGGTCTCTCCCAGGGCTCCCCAGACCCTCGCATTCCACTCTGGAAAGGGAAGCACATGACTGGCTCTTGAGGCAGTGAGTCAGGCTGCCCCGAGTCCTTCTGACCTTGGGCCTGCTACACTGCTGAAGGCAGCAAATCTGAGACTGAAGCAGTGGCCGCCCAGCCATCAGTCCCGGCTCCGTTTGCTGACTTGGAAAAACGTGTCATTCCCCTCTGGCCTCTGGCGTTTGGCAGAGGTCTGAGCCGAATGCTGACCATGAGCAGCCTGGGGCAATGGCTGCTTAACCAGGCTTCTCTGTTCAGGGGCCTCAGAACTGGGGCCAAGAGAGCAGCCCCGGTGGGGAGGGGACCACGGCCACGGCAGGAGCATCACTGGACCCAGACGTGCATACGGGCATTGGGAAGAGAATGGTGGCAAGACCCTCTCCAGACAGCAGAACAGGGTACCCTTTGAAGGTCTGGGGGAAGGGGGAGAGGTATGCAGCAGGGAGGGTGAAAGGTCCTGACAGCTCCTGAGAGACAGGCCCTTGAGCAGTGAGTCCCCAGTTCCGTGCGAAGTCACCCGGCAAGTGTATTTAATACAGGTTCCTGGCTCTTGTCCCCCAAGATTCTTGATTCAGAAAGCTGGCATTGGGCACAGGAACGTGGATTTTAACAAGCTCCCCGGGTGACCTTGAGGAAGTGGGGGACCTGGCCTTAGTGGGCAACAGCACCCAGTTAGTAAACATCCCCTGCCAGGTGGGCTGGGGGCCCAGGCCTGCTTGGTTCACCTCCAGCACTTCAGCTGGCCCATGTCCGCAGGCACTGACAGAGATGTGTCCCCTCAGCAGAAATCTCTCCCTGCTGTCCGCATGAGTCTCTCTGCCTCCTGCAATGCTTTCATCCCACACAGCCACATGCATGTGCTGGACAGGCCTCATGGGCCCCACACCCCCCCCTCAGACCTGCTGCATCGGTCACCAAGTGCACTAGTGACGGAGTCTCAGTCCCTCAGCTCGAGGCCCATGGAGTTCAGGAGTCACCATGGACCAGTGATTTGGGGGAAATCCTGGACAGTCAGAAGGTGGCTTAACCTTCCATAGGCCTGGTGGGCCTTCCTTGTCAACAACCCCCCTCTGAGGGCCAGCCCTGCCGTCCTCAGGCAAGAGTGCTGGCTCTTCTGCCCCACTCCAAAGCCACCAGCCCCAGTTCATCTCGGCCTGGAGGCCGCCATGGGCTTCTCCCTCACCCCCTTCCCCTCACCTCAGTGATAAACAGGATACATTCCAGGAACATGTAGTCTTTGTGGTTCTCATTCACAGCCTTCTCATCGACAAAGTGCCTGGGCTCCAAATACGGGTGGTCTGGGAACAGCAAAGAGCCCCAGGGTTCAGAACCAGACATTCACACCCACCAAGCACCTCAGCCCAGGGCAGTCTACACCCACCCTGGGGCCACAGTCCCGCCCACGTGCCCTCAACACTTGACCTTGCGGGAGCAGTAAATGATGAGTGTGTGTATGTGCGCACGCACAGTTGTGCATGTATGTGTTCTAGTGGAATGAGCTTTGCCTTTTTCTAGCCGTCTGACCTTGAACCAGTGACTTCAGCCCTCTGAGGCTCAGTTTCCTCATCTGTACAGTGGGGCTATGAGGAGCACCTCCCTCATACTGCCTGATGGTTGGGACCACAGGAAAACCCCAGGCACGGCACCCACACAGGTTAAGCATTCGTCAATGGTGGCTAGTCTCATGCAGGCAAAGACCCCTCCCAGGGTCACTGAGAAGGTTCTGGGAGATAATCTACCTAAAACGCTTAGAGCAGTGCCTGGCACAGAGCAAATACGCAAATGCTTATGAATATTATTTTGCAGGCAGTGAATCCTACCCTGAAGCAAAAGTCACCACCCGATCCTCACCCAGCGGAGACCCCAGGGAGCTGCCCCAGCCTGGAAAGCAGTGGCCAAGTCGGGGGAGCCAGCAGAGAGGGCCCACAGGAAGCGGATCACTCCCCCGCGCTGGGTGGCTGCTCCCTGATGGGCCCCCTTGCACACAGCTCGATGATAACGGCGGATGATGCCGGTCACCAAGTCAAAAGAGCCCCTCATTTTCAACATAAAACCCCGCAGCTGCTGCCAGGAGCTGGGGCGCATTTCACACCAGTCCATTATGCGCCAGGCGAGCGCCCCTGCTCCAGCCTGTGTCACTTTCTATTATCTCGGCACACTCTGCCTCTGCCTCCCCCGGCCTGCCGCGCTGGCTCGCAGCACAAGGTCGACAGCAAACAGCCTCCGTCAATAGCCGGTCTAATGCCTGCTTTATAAGCTGTCACTGTCTGCCCTGAGCAGCAGAAGTGAGGCGGGAAAGGAGGAGGGCGGACAGAGCACACACCCCTGGGGGGGTGGGCGGAGGGGTAGGCACCCCTTCAGTACCTATCAGCTGCGAGCTGCCCCAGATGAAGGGCAGAAACTGAAAGTCGTCCAGGCCCCACACTCCCTGGCTGCCGGCTGGCTCCATCCTGTATGTCTTCTGGAGTTTCCGCATAACCTCCAGGTACCTGCGCAGGAGGTGGGGGAAGAGAGAGGCAGCAGAAAGCAGAGAGACAGTCTCAACCCTTCTGCCACTGGGAGCTCACGGAGGCCAGAAATAACTACCTAAGAGTATAACTGGTCTCTATTTTCAATGAAAACCTACATGCGTAAGTTATGCATCAGCTGGTACTCTCAAAATAATGTCGCTTTATTTTTTTCTCCCACGCTCAGTCTTCTTTTGGCCCAGGAAAGGGGGGTTTAGCGCCAGCAACTCCTGACAATGTGAGACCCTGGGCAGGAGCCCCAGGTTCTCTAACTCTGGCCTGCCCATCAGAAAGCGGGTGGGGGACAGAGCAGATCATCTCCTGGGGCCTTCCGGCTCCCACCTTCCCTGTTCTCAGGGGCTGCGTCAGCATCACCAGAGTGGGGCCCGGAAAGAGAACGGGTGCTGTCAGAAGCCTCTGGTGGCTGCACCACACCTGTACGGCTGGGCAGGTGGTTCGGGGGGGTGGGGTGAGGTGGGGAGCGGGTCAGAGCCTGACTGCAGGGGTTCAGCTGGCTGTGTGAATTCAGGGATCAGAAGACAGCTGATTTCTCTGGGCCTCCGTTTCTTCATCTATAAAATGGAAATGACTGGGGCGCCTGGGTGGCTCAGTTGTTAGGCGTCTGCCTTCGGCTCAGCTCATGATCCCATGGTCCTGGGATCGAGCCCCACATCGGGCTCCCTGCTCGGCGGGGAGCCTGCTTCTCCCTCTCCCTCTCCCCCTGCTTGTGTTCCCTCTCTCGCTGTGTCTCTCTCTGTCAAATGAATAAATGAAATCTTAAAAAAAAAAAAAAAATGGAAATGATGGTCACTGCTGCCTAGAGCTGTTGGGGGAATCTAGGGAGGGAGCTGCACGTGGAGAGCTCAGGACGCGGCTCGACACGGCAAACACACGGAAGCATTAGCAGTCGGCACGTGACTTTCCTTCACTTGTCCTTACTTGGATCTGAACCTGTCAGAAGGCTTCTGGGATGCCCCGTCCACAGCCAGAGCTCGATCAGGACAGGCCAGAAGAAGCAACAGCCAGTCAGGAGCGCCTGCCAGCATCCCACCCCAGTGTGACAGGGAGAGGAGACCCCTGCTGCTCTTCTTCTCACTCACCGATCAAACACCTTGAAGACGATGGCTATTTGGTCGTCTACCCGAAGCACCCCGATCTTGCAGAGGCAGCAGAGGAAAGCAGCAAAGGCTGCTTCATGTCCTAGGGGAGAAGAAAACAGCCGAGGTCGACGGTCTTCCAGAAAAAGGAGTGGTACTGTTCTTGGTCTCACCAGAGTCCAAATCACTGAGAACTGCCCCTCTACAGACGGGGGTCAACATGGAGATAATGGGGCCTCTGCCCCTTCCAGAAAGACCCAGGCCCTTTTGAGAACTACCACTACTATAATTCTAAAAGGTGGACTTCTGAAACAGACATTTGCATTGTGTTTTGTAGGTTTAACTCACTCGTTAATTCCACGCTATCTATTGAGCACCTACTACAATGGCAGCCACTTTCCGTGTCAGGCACTAGGGAGACCACATCCATGCCTTTGCGTGATAGTTTATGATCTACCAGGATGACAAACATTAAACAGACAATCACTTCTATAATTCTAGCTCTGAAGGAGAAGGACAGGGTGATAACTGGAGAATATCACAGGGGGCTCAAGAAGATTTCCCTAAGGAAGTAATATTTAATCTGAAAGATGAGTAAGAGTTGGTAAGGCGCTGGGCGTGAGGGAAGCAAGAAGAGCAATCTAGCCAGAAGAAACAGCATGTGCAAAGGTCCTGAGGTGAGAAAAACTGGGGTATGTTTGAAGAACACTAGGAAGGCCAGTATGGCTAAAACAGAGAGGGCAAGGGAGAAAGAGTAACGAGATGAGGCTGGCGATCAGACAGGCCTTACCTGCTACGTAAGAAGCTCAGACTCAGTACCCTAAGAGCAACGGGAGCCACTGAAGGCTTCCAAGCAGGGAACAACACATGGTCACATTACAGGGTCAAAAGGCAGCCCTTTCCATGGGGTCCCTGGCTGGCTCAGTCAGTGGAGCATGTGACTCCTGATCTCGGGGTTGTGAGTTCAAGCCCCACAGTGGGTGCCAAGATTGCTTAAAAATAAAATCTTAAAAAAAAAAAAAAAAAAAAAAAAAAGGCACTCCCTTCCTTTCCCAGTCATGTCAAATAGGAATGGTCAGCACTACCGACACCACTGATCAGACTCCGGACTGAATACCATGGTTCACAGTATTGTAAAAAATGTATTTGGACCGAGGCAGGGAAAGAATATTTCAGCAACTTCCTGCCCCATCTCTGCAGAATGAAGGTGCCTCCAGGGCCTGGGAAGCTTGTGAGCTGTTCCTCTCACCTGCACTGTTTCTGATCTCCACCAGCCAGAGTCCCAGCCACCATCACTCAGGGGCTCTTGCACACTTCACAGCAGAAGAAAAACCCACCCCTGGCTGACCTGGCCAGTCTCCCCTTCAGGGTCTCTCCCGGTCAGTCTCAGTCAAAACCCCACCCCGGGAAGTCTCAAAACACTTGATAAACCTGCTCCCCAGCAACAGGGGGAACAGAAGACAACGCCTCCCCAGGACCCAGGTTCAAGGGGGCCCTTTTCCAGGCCTACCAACATGGCCTGTGCTTGTCTCGAGGAACCTGAGCCCCAGGCGAGGGGAAGGCCTAAGAGAACAGCCGCTCTTGTACTTGCCGCTTCAGGACAGGTCAGAAAGGTGAGCCTACTACAGCAGGGTCCTCCCTCGCCCCCCCACCCCCCCACAGAGATAACACTTCCCCTCTGAGGTGCCTGCATGTGCCCTCTCCCAGAGAACTCAGCAGCACACAGACACTGGGCTAGAAGAGGGCGTGCCACAATGCTGCCGGGCGCTACTGAGCTCTTTCATTTCTCAAGGCTCTGGTGAAGGGTCGCCTTGAGATATAGTAAGTGCTCAATAAATTATTTGCTGATGGTGCTAAGCTCACAGACCCCGTCTTTACAAAGAACAGAAATCGGTGCTGCACAGACACCATGCACATGGCATCAGCTCCCCCTGGTGGACCAAGGCAGAGCCGCGGGAGCAGCACCAGGCCTCCCCGCGCCCGGGGGGGGGGGGGGGGGGGGGGGGGGGGGGGGGGGGGGGGGGGCGGCGGGCACTGCACCCCAGCTGGCCCCAAAAGGCTGCTTGCTCAGATGGCCCCGAGACAATCCGGAGCAAAGAGGAAGCAGCCCAAGAAGAGACTGCAATGAAGCCAAGTAAACACCGGGAGTGGCAGGTACCTGTGCCATAGTCGATGCGTGTGGAGTTCCCCACTGACTCCTTTAGGTAAACAGCCACCTCAGGCACGGCAGCTGCCAGATGGGTGGGGACCACTGTGGCCACCAAGTTTTCTGCTTCCTGATAACACAAGAGACACAAAGTGGTGGCAGCAGATTAGGCAGCATCCTGGTGGCAGGCACCCAGGAGCAGCATTTGGCTGGGGCCCGGTTGGCCACGCCAGGCCGGCCTGGCTCCCTGCTCTGACTGAAAGCTGAGGAGGGAGACACTGACACTTACCCCACAGAGTCACTACCCCAGGGTGGCTTTTCGTCTGCTGGCCCTTCCTCCAGGGGACAAGGGTCTGGGACAAGATGGGAGGGAACTGCAAAGAAGCCATTCAACTCCCCCATCTGGTAACTCGCTGACGTCCCTACAGACACCATCTTTCTTCACATTCCCAGGATAACAAGAATGTGTGCCATATATCCACCCAAACACGCATATACAAGAACGTTCATAGCAGCATTATTCGTAGTAGCCAAAATGTGGGAACAAGCCGCCACCAAAATGTCCACCGACCACAGACCGTGGTGCAGTTAGGTGCTGGAACACGACACCGCAAGGCAAACGCTCTGCTGCTCCGCACAACATGGGGGACTCTCAGAGACAGAACACTGAGCAAAAGAAGTCAGACGTTTATAAGAAGTTCAAAAACAGGTAACACTGATCCATGGGATGGAAATCAGAAGAGTTTGGGGGGGATATCAACTCGAAAGGGGCACCAGGGCCCTGCCAGAGTGCTGGAAAGTTTTAGAGCTTGATACAGGTGGGGGTGCAAGGGCCAAACATATGCTGAGATCCAGCCAGCGGCACAGCTGTGAGGTATTCACTTTCCTTTAAGTTTTAACTCAATAAAATTCTTTAAAAAAAGACTCTGTGCTCTCTTAGAGTCCAGAGGCAGCCCCAGGCTGCTCTTAGGCAGGGACAGCATTCTGCTGGGTCCCTGGGGCTCCCCTCTGCTCCAGGAGGAAACACTGGGCCAGAGAAATGAGGACCTAAGTTTCTCTAGGTTCAGTCTATAGACACCTGGCAGGAAAATCTCCTGGAGACCTGAGGAAAATCTGGATTCCTGGGCCCCACCCTAGACCTACAGACTGCTTTTCTATGGACAGGGCCCATGAGCCTGCATTTTTATTTTTTGCTTGCTTTGAACAGGTATCACTGTTATAGGATTCAAAACTAAAGACATTAAAAAAATAAAAATACACTGAATTCTACTCCAGAAACCAATATTGCACTGAATATTAACTACCTAAAATTTAAATAAAAATTAATAATTTAAAAAATCAAGAAAAAGAAGCACAATACTAAATTCTTTGGGATTTGCCAAGAAAATACTGAAAAGTAAAAAAGTAAATAAATACACACATTACAAACGGGATGCACTGAGAAGTTTCTGTCCCCTTCCCCACTCTCCCCTGCCCTCAGAGAAGTCACAGCTTTATTAGCCTCTTGTACATCCTTCCAGTGACGTTTCCTTATGCAAACTGAGCAGCACAAACATATCTTTTCATTTTTCCCTCTTTCCTACCAAAAAGTAGCTCGCCATGTGTCAGACCCCAGGTTCCTCTTTAACTGAACAATAAACCCCAGACCACCTTCCCCCAAGCTCCTAGTGGGCTCCTAGTCTTTCTCATAGCTGCGTAGCACTCCAGGTTAGATCTACTAGTCTATCTGACTGGTCCCCTGCACGTGGACACTTGCGACATTTGAATCTGTTGCTAATGCAAACAATGACCTAATTAACAGCCCCATGCAGGGGACTGGGCATCCATAGCGGCGATTCCCAAAAGATGGTGGGGGCAGAGGGTAAATGCATTTGTACTTTTGGTAAATGGAATCGCCATTTTAACAAACTCCCCAGTGATTCTGAGATGCCTGAAAGCTCCTGCACCCCCTGGCCCAGCCCCCAAGCACGTCCTGTGGCAGCCTCACCTCGTCAAGTTTGGCATACCAGGTCCTGTAGGCCTTGTTCCCAAATCGAGAGGGCTGGTCCACCGGAGGGGTCTCATCAATCCACCTGTCCAGCGTGTTGAGAAGGGTGACCAGTTTCTCAATGGCCTGTAGTAAGCAAAATAGAGGGGCCAAGCACAATGACTAGTGGCCCCCATCTAGAGCCACAGAGAGAAGTCCCAACTGCTGCTGGACAACGACCCGTAGGCATGGCATTAGTGGTTAAGTGCTGGGGAGATCATACACTCCTACAGGATCAAGTTTTTAAATCCAACTGTCTGGGGGCACCTGGGTGGCTCAGTGGGCTAGGCGTCTGCCTTCAGCTCAGGTCATGACCTCAGGGTCCTAGGATGGAACCCCGTGTCGGGCTCCCTGATCAGCGAGGAGTCTGCTGGTCCCTCTCCCTCTGCCTCTCCCCACATTCATGCTCCCTCGCTCTCTCACAAATAAGTAAATAAAATCTTTAAAACACGGGCCCCAGGGCACACATTATTTTGTCGCCTGCTCAATTTCCTCATGAGCCTCATTCCACATCAACATGTAAACATAATTTTACGACAGCCTTTAGTAAGTTAATAGCATCTCATTGTGCCAACATACTATAATATTTTACCGAATCCCTCCCTGTTAAATGTTTGGGTTACTCCCACTTGTTCCTTCCCACAAACAATCTGGGCAGCCCCCGTCTGCAGAACTGCTGGGTCAGAGGTCCAAACCTGTGTAATGCTTTGCAGGGCCACAGCGGCAGGGAGCCTATCTCCCCACACCTTTCTCACAGCAGGCAGGAACCAAGGAGTGGAATCGGTGCCACAGGCTGGGGCAGCACTAGCACACAGCATGTTACTCAGTGAGGAAATAGGTGAGGCTGATGATCCAAAACACAGGTCTGGAAGGGCAGCTAGAAAAGGACTCCTGGGTGTAGCTTGTAAAAAAAAAACAGGCCAGGGGCGCCTGGGTGGCTCAGTCGTTAAGGGTCTGCCTTCGGCTCAGGTCACGATCCCAGGGTCCTGGGATCGAGCGCCCCCGCCAACCCGCATCGGGCCAGGGAGCCCGTTTCTCCCTCTCCCACTTCCCCTGCTGGTGTAACCTCTCTCTCTGTCAAATAAATAAATAAAATCTTTAAAAAAAAAAAAAAAAATAGGCCAAAACGAAAGGCTAGCGGAAGGCACAAGGCAGAGAGAGGGTGTTCAGAGGCAGGCAGCCCTGGGAGAGAAGACCTTGCCAAGAAGCAGGTTTTGCCTGTGTCTACTGGGCACAAACAGCACAAAGAGAGACCTCCAAGAGCCCCTGACACTGGGTCAGACCTAGCAGGGTGGTGCCCACATGAAAAGTTGTGAGGAGGAAGGCAAGGCTCAGTCAAATCCACTGCTGCATTGTGCAGGCTCCGCACAGCAGCGGTCCAAGAGCTGTGCGGGGAAGGAAGTGAACTTGAGCTAATGGAATACGTGTCAGCCAGTGCCCACCCCCACATAGCTCCAGGAGGCACAAATCACACTGCAGGCCATGTACACTGCGCCTTGTGCAACATGACAATGGCCTCAATGTTGCCATCCCTCACCTCCCCTTTCTCTATGCTTGGGGTGCAAGAGCGAGCAAAAGTTACCTGTAAGAGGGGAAATCTCCCTGTACACCTGGCTGAGGCAGAGGGCCCGGGTGACATAAAGCTGTCCAGCTGAAATGTGAGACAAAGTGCTGCCAGAGCCCAGCTTTGTGAAGAAAGAGGTCACCAGGAACTGATAAGGACAGAGCAAACCTGACCCCATGCAGCAACTGGGACTCAGGAGTGATGAGGCAATAATCCCAAGCCCAGGAAGCACCAGCCAGGCCCAATTCCCTGACGATCTCAGTCTTGGGCAAGGCACTGAAGGGGATAAAGAAGGTGCGGGGAGGCCACAGTAAGCCAGGCCCCAGCTGCCAGCTCAGCTGGAGTAATGAATAATTAAAAGGCTCCTAGCTCCTCTTTCTGGAGAGGGTTTTTAGAATGCAGGGGCTGCCTCTATTGTCTGACTGGCTGGGGCAGAGGGGTTTGAGGGGGGGCTCCCCCGCTGTGGGCTGAACCCTCAGGAAGCACAAATAATAATTTGAACTACCCTCCAGCTCCCTAAACCGGTGCTTCCTTTTGGATTTCATGGACCAGTAAAATTTTCTCCAAACCATTACTTGCCAGCGTTTTCTATGTCTTTGCCCCCAACTTAAATAGCAAACAGAACAACAGCAAAAAAAAATAAGCCTCTTATCTACCCACATTTTGCAAAACCCCAAAATTTGAATCCCCAAACATTAAGACAGATATAATCTCAAACTGCAGGAGGGCGCCTGGGTGGCTCAGTGGGTTAAGCGACTGCCTTCGGCTCAGGTCATGATCCTGGAGTCCCGGGATCGAGTCCCACATCGGGCTCCCTGCTCGGCAGGGAGTCTGCTTCTCCCTCTGACCCTCTTCCCTCTTGTGCTCTCTATCTCTCATTCTCTCTCTCTCAAATAAATAAAATATTAAAAACAAAAACAAAAACAAAAAAAAACTGCAGGAGAGCCTTCTAAACATGGGTCTAGACAGTCTCACCACATTGCCCTTGCTTGTTCCCTTCGCTGCTGGTCTGGAAGCTGCCCCCTAGGGCGGCTCTCTCTGCCCTCTGCCCAGCCGCCAGCCCTGTAGGGGGAGGCAGGAGTGAGAGGAAGCAGGAGCCCCAAGCAGCTGTGCTGGGGCCTCCCCCCATCTGTGGGCTGAGATCACACGCTGTGAGCCCTGCCTTCTGCTGCCCTGCCAGCCATTGGCAGGGGCTGGGAGACCTCTGGAGACCAAACTCGTCACCTCTGCCCACCAAGTGATCACCCTGGCACTGGGATGAAACCCAGCTCAGGAAGCGCCCCCAACTGAAGCAATCACACTACTGGAGGTCAGAACTGAAAAACAGCTCACGATAACAGCTAATAACGATAAAGACATCCAGTATGCACCAGGCACTGTCCTAACAAGCCTACATGTAGGATCCCACTGACTCCTCCCGGGGGGCCATGAGTCGGTCTGCCGGCTCTGTCACTCCACAGATGAGGAGATAGAGGGTCAGAGGGGACGAAGCCACTCAGCTTGGAAGGGAGAGGTTATCCAAACCCAGTCAGCCTGACTCCAGAACCCAAGCACTTAACCACGCTGCAATCCTGCCAAGAGAACAGCTCCTGAGCTAGGACAACACCCGGCCAGCGTGGAGTCTACCATCAAAGCGTGAGCGGAAGTTACGGGACCTCAGGATCTGCTGGGGTGATTAGAACACACCCCTGTAATTAGCCTTCCCCCGCCCCACTCCCTGCCCACTGAGGACAGCCGAGCCTCCCTCACCACAGGCTCAAGGACAAGCCCTCTCTCTCCCAACCCACAAACTCAAGGGTGGGCCAGCCCCCAAGAGAAGGAGGTCTATCCCCAGCACAGGTCCGGCTCCCCTCTGGTGACAGAACAAGACCTCAGCCACCCCACAGACAGTTGGGGGCCCAGGAAGAGGCAGCTCTCCTGAGGCGGGGTGTGAGGGACAGGTGGACAGACCAGGCTACGACAGGGCCAGGCCTTATCCAACAGGGCGGGATAAGGCACCGAGAGGCAGCTCAGGCCCTGGTGTCTGAGATAAGAGTCTCAAGGTGACTGTGAGCCAACTGGGAGAGGAACCCAAGAGGCCACTGGAGGCCTGCGACCCGGCCCTTGGAGATGGCATCGAGCAACAGCGAACAGCCCGCAAGCCCACACCGCCCCACAGCTCTTGTCCTTTCTCCACCAACAACCCAGCTCCAGAAGAGCAGCCAAAGAGCGGCCATCCTGCAGCGCAGGCCCTCAACGCAGCTTCCAGCCCCACTTCCAGGAATGACTCCTCAGGAAAGAGCGCCCACAGATCTGTACGTAACGATGTTCAGAGCAGCAACATTTAGGGACACAACCTCAAAGTCCACAGTTAGGGCTGCTTAAACAAACGAGGGCCGGCTCAATGAGGCTACCATTTACGTAGTGGAGGGGCAGCAGGAGAGGAGGAGCTCAGAGGGCAGGTCTGGGTGACATTCCCCAAACCGTTCCCGGGGCCGCCCCAGGGAGCTGGGTAGGAGGGGAAAGACAGGGAGAGATCAGCTTTTTGTTAATACACTTCTATTAGTGAACCCTTCAGTGAAGCACACTTACTTCATTTACAATCTTTTTTCATCTAAAAAGGTACATAAAAACACCAGTTAGCAAAAATGCAGGGTATAAAACAGCATAGTTACCTTGATCCCAATTTTATAAATATACATCCACTGACAAATTGGGGAAAAAAAAAAAAAAAAAGATTAGAAATACAAACACCAAGAAGGGCCCGGGTGGCTCAGTCGGTTGAGTGTCTGACTCTTGGTTTCGGCTCGGGTCATGATCTCAGGGTCCTGAGATGGAGCCCCACCAGGATCCAGCTGCCGGGTCAGCTCTGTGCTCAACATGGAGTCTGCTTGTCGCTCTCCCTCCCCCGACTCATGCTCATGCTCCTTCCCTCTCTCTCTCAAATAATAAATATTTTTTAAAAAGGAAAAGAAATACAAACACCAAAATGTCAACCGCACATGTGCTTAGGCGATCTTATTTCCTGCACTGGCCTGTTGTGGGCCGTGAGCTCAGGTGACTCTCTGGAGCTATTCTGGGAGCAGCCCTGCTGCAGCAGCCTCCCCTGCCTGTGCCTACCTCAGAGACTTTGTACTCGAAGGTCAGCTTCTTCCCCTTCACACCTTCGTTGAGCGTGAGGATGAATCCGATGTAGTCAGCGTATGCCTACCAAACGAAGTGGGGAGTGGAGACGGAGAGAGGGGTGTCAGACCCCTGACCCTCCACACCCCGGCCAGCCCCCAGCTCCACCCAGTTCCCAAAGAGCTCCTAGCTGTCCCTGGACCCCGGCCTGCCAGCAGTAGAACAATAACACCAAATACTCCACCCTACTCTCTACCCTAAACACCTGGTGAGCCAATGACCACAATGACACCTGGACCTTCAGGCAGAGTTTATTGTGTGCTCACTACTCCTGACAATAGCTTCTTTACACAACCCCACAAGGTAAACACTGTCACTATCCCCATCGTATAGATGAGGAAACCAAGGCCTCAGGAGAGATGACTTGCCCAAGGTCTCCTAAGACCAAGATCTCATTAGATGTGGAGCTAGGACCCTACAAGTCCTCCAACTCCACTATACCACCAGGAGTTCAAGGAATACCAGCAAGGGTTCCTCCACTGTCAGTCTCCCAGATGTTTCCCCCACCAGACAGGCCAGGCTGTCAGCCTGCAGTGCAGACCCCCTGCTCCCAGGAGAAGAAACTTTTCTGCCCATGGCCAGGTCTCCCAGCACACCCATCCCTGGCTTCCAACTGGGCACTCTCTTCCCTGTTGAGTTGCGGGTTACAACCAGCACAGGGCTAAGAAAGCACTAAGGTGTAGGCCCCGGGAGCAAGTGACTTCTGTCTGGTGTCGTTTCTTCTTCATCTCTGTTGCCTCTCATTCTCTTGCTTCCGCCTTCTCCAAAATGCCAGCAGCAGCCACAGCAAGCCCTGAGAACTGACCATTCCGTATCTAGAAGGGAGCAGTCCTGTACCAGGCCCTTCCTACAGCCCGTGGGACGGCCACAGATGGAAACGAGGGGTCATGGGGCAGGTCCGAGCCCTCATCCTACCCGCAAAGCCACAGTCGTTCCTGCAAACTATACCGCGATGCAAAGACAGGAAGCAGCAAGAGGCAGTGTCACCCCCCACGGTCCCCGCTCCCACATGGGCCTGAGTCTCTTGCTGACTAAAGCTCAGGCCATTCTTACAAACAAGACTGTGAGCAAAGTCTCCACCAACGCCACCATCCTCATCCCTGTAACAGTAACGACCATGCCCGCAGCTCACGAATGCCTAGCACTGGGCCAGGTGCTTTTTTGGACTTTGAGTCATCTAAGCCTCCCAACAACAACATTTTACGGTAGAAGAAATAGGCTTGGCCAGCTTAGGCGCGCTGCCTAAGTCACAAGGATAGGAAGTGGCAAGCCTGGGCTTCAAGCTTTGACTTCTCTGATCCTAAGTCTACGCTCCTGGTTGCTGCACTCGGCAGCCTAGTGAAACTGTGTGGACCATGCCACAGAGTCACTTGTCGAGCCACGAACTTGAGTGGTGAGCTTCACAGCAAGTGAAAGCCTTCTATCCAGTATCATTCAACACATACTCCATTAGAAAAAGTAACCAAAACTTCCCAAAAAGTGTTGGTGCCTACAGCAGGATCAACAAACTGCCTACAAAGGGCCAGATAGTAACTATTTTAGGCTCTGCAGGCCATAAAGTCTGGTTCACAGATTCTCAACTCTGCCCAACTCTGCCAGTTAGTACGAAAGCAGCCATGGACAATACATAAATGAGCCTTGCTGTGTTCCAATAAAACTTTATTTACAAAAACAGGCAGAGGTCCAGATTAGGTGAGCAGGCAGTAATTTGCTGACCTGTGGCCTAGAGCATAGTGGCTCAACCCATGGCTGTCTAGAGACAGAGGACCTGGGCATGAATCCTGAGCCTCATCCCAACCACCTGCTAACTGTGCCATCCGGCTAAATGTCTTTATCTCCTGGCCTCACGTTTCTCACCTTCAAAATGGAGATGACCACTGAGCCCACTTCCCAGGGTTTTTGTGAGGATTAAATGAGCTAAAAAATACCTAGCACATCATAATCACCCCATCCTCCTTGAAAACACCCAGGGGGAAAGCAAGGAACTAAAGCCACGTTTGGATTCAGCCAATCTGCAGGTTCAGGGCAGCCTTGTGGTTCTCAACCCAGGCGATCTGGCTCCCAGACAACTTCTGGCAAGGTCGGGAGACATTTTCGGTTGTAATACCTGGGGGAGGGGTGCTGCTGGCATCCAGCAGGTAGAGGCCAGGGAAGGTCCTAAACATCGTACAATGCACAGGACAGCCCCCTACAACAAAGAATTATCCACCCCAAAACGTCACCAGTGCTGAGGTTTAGAAACGCTGAGGTAGAACCACCAAGATGACAAAGGGACTCAAACGTGCCCTTTGAGCAGCTGAAAGGACTAAGGTGTTTATCCTGGTGAAGATTCAGGGGGAGAACATAACTCAGAAAAGACATGATAACCATCTGCAAATATTTCGAAGGCAGGCTTATTTATGAAAGAGGAGCCAGAGAGGCTTGCATGGCCCAAGAACAGCCATGGCCATTATAGAATGTGGGCTTAGTGTCAGCACAGTGGACTCCTTAAGGAGAACCTGCCTTTCTGCACAAGTGACCCCCCCGCAACCCCAGCTGAGCAGACCAGGTGTGGACACCTGGCTGGAGCTGGGACCAAGGCTTTCCCTGGGGATTTGGCTTTCTTTTTCTTAGTCCCAATCTTTCCACCGCCTCTGCCAGAAGCCCAGGAGGTAGAAGCTGTTATTTCCTGCCCACCATTGGACTGAGCAGCACAGAAAGCTGGTCTGCACTTCCCCTTGCTCTAGGTCCCAGTTCCTAGGTATTTTTAGGCCCAGCCACCTCCCTGGCCTGGGTTTCCATGAGATAGATAACCTCCTCTCTCTTAGACACACTGGCTCCGAGACCAGCTATAACTTCTCCCCCAGAGAGAGGGGGACAGCCGGCTCCCCTGTCAGCTCTCTCCCTAGCTTCTAACAGCTCTAGTTCCAAGAACAAGGAAGGTCAGGAGCTCACTGTCTTTGAAAAAGCCCAAGTTCTTCACCCCAGCTCTGGCCCTACAGTGCAGACACCACTGGTACCTGAGAACGCTTCCATTTGCCCATGTCTGGAACTGTGTGGATCTCCTTTTTTGGAATGATGAAGTTCTGAGTGGCTGGAGGGATATCCTCCGAAGAATCTTGACAAAGAAAGTGAAGAAGCAAATACATAAATAGAATCTTCCCCTCAACCCAACTTTCTCCCTCTCTCTCTCTCTCGCTCTCTCTCTCTCTCTCTCACACACACACACACACACACACACACACAGGTTTAAACCAAGACTCCAACCCCCAGTCCCTAGGGTAAACCAGACACGTACTCCCAGGACAATCAAGCCAAATCCACTGACCGCCTGCCTTTCCACCCTCAGCCCAGAGCCCCGCCGTACTGGGAATGCCCTCAACAACTGACACGTTCAGCTGCTCCGCGGCGCCCTCACCTCCTGCTCCCTCACCAGAGAATGGTTAGAAAAATAAAACGAAGTTGACCTTTTAGACAAAAGCAGGCAATTCAAAGAAGGAGGAAAATATTACAAACGACCACCCATAAACATTTGAAAAAAATTGCCAACCTCTGAATAAGCACAGAAATGTAAATTAGATGAGATGGCTTTTCCAGATCAGGGTGGCAGATTAAAACCATCTGGCATCGACTGGGAATGGGGAAGTGGGAACTCTCCTGCACTGCTGGTGGGAGTCTTGGTAGAATCTGCTGAGGAGGCAACTCAGCACTGACTTTTGAAGTAAAACCACACAGACCCATGGAGCCAACATTTCTACTTGTAGGCATCAACCCTTCAGGGGCTCACAGAAATACACCAAGGTGTATATAAAGGCACTTACTGCATGGAAAAAAGGTAGAAACAGCGCATATATCAATTGACAAGGCAATGGGTAAATAATAATATGCCCATATAATGGAAATCTTCATAGTTTTTTAAAAGAATAAAACCTAAATTACTGACATAGGAAAACAGCCTAGATATTAATAAGTGAAAAAAGAAGGGGCGCCTGGGTGGCTCAGATGGTTAAGCGTCTGCCTTCGGCTCAGGTCATGATCCCAGAGTCCTGGGATCGAGTCCCACATCGGGCCCCCTGCTCCTTGGGAGCCTGCTTCTCCCTCTGCCTCTCTTTTCTCTCTCTCTCTCTCTGTGTGTGTCTCATGAATAAATAAATAAAATCTTAAATAAAAAAAATAAGTGAAAAAAATTAAGCTATATCATATATAACATAATCTCATTATTGCAAAAATAGCTATACGTACTCGTATAAATAACATGTATATCAGCATATGCATTGGAAAAATCTGAAGGATTAAACCCCAAAGTTAATTAATAGTCATCTCTAGGAGGTAAGATTTATAAGGGACTTCCAATTCTAAGCTACATATTGCTATTAAAAACTAGCATACAGTATGGGGCGCCTGGGTGGCTCATTCAGTTGAGCACCCAACTCTTGATTTCAGCTCAGGTCATGATCTCATGATCTCAGGGTCATGAGATGGACCCCCGCATCGGGCTCCCTGCTGGACATGGAGCCTGCCTAAGGTTCTCTCTCTCCCTCTCCTTCTCTCCTCCCTCCCGCCACATTCGCGAGCCTGAGCGTGCACTCGCACTCTCTCTCTCTCATAAAAAAAAAAAAAAACTAGCATACGATAATTCTATAATCAGGAAAAAAAAACTTTTAAATGGAGTTTCTATATTTGCGGAACTTGGGGAAAGGAAAACACAGGGCAGTGCCACATGCTGACCTAGAAGCAAACTTCACACCAAAGTGGACCGCTTAGTATGAGTGGCCTCTCTAGCCGAAAATACCCGGCCCACACTGCAGGATTCCCTTTACTTTATGACACTGGAAAATACGAGCCCTCAGTCTCTTCTCCATAATTCCAAAATCCAAAAAGTTCTAAAAACCCAAAGTTTTTCAAATAAGTTTGGCACAAATTCTTTTCGTACAAAACTTAAACCTAAACCAACATGAGAACATTTATAGGCTTTGCAGATCCCTCTTAGGGAATTTAAGTTTTGCTGCAGAAGTATTTTTGTTTGATTGTGGGGTGCTCCTTTCTGAAATCTGGGAAACCCTGAATTCCAAAATACACCTGGCCCCAAGGGTCTTGGACAAGGGCCGTGCCTGAATCCACTACTGAAGATCTGTTGTATTAGTTAACACCTTCCTTTAAAAACCCAGACTCTCCAGAAAGAGTCATTCACGACATACGGTAATTTCTACCCCTGCTGTCCTCCTAAAATCCAGCTGACATTGCCTGCATGGAGAAAGGGGACAGGGGCCTAAGATGGTTCTGGAACATGTGACATTTGGGAGAATGGAGCATGCCTGGAGAGGCCCCGAGGAAAGGGAAAGCTCTAGAATACCTGGAGACCTGACGAGGAGGACAGAGAATCCGAGATGAGAGCAAGGCAAACCTCTGCCTAATTCAAAATTGAAACCAGAGCCCAAAAAACAAATCAGAAACTCTCTTCCTCCTCCCACCTGTTCTACAAGCCCCGTTCCCAGAACCCAAAACTGAGGCCCCTACTATTAGTAAATTACTACCTTAATACACTATTAAATAGGGATGCCTGGGTGGCTCAGTCAGTGAAGCGTCTGCCTTCAGCTCAGGTCATGATCTCAGGGTCCTGGGATCCAGCCCCACTTCGGGCTCCCTGCTCAGCGGGGGTCTGCTTCTCCCTCTCCCTCTGCCTCCTCCCTCCTGTTCATGCTGTCTGTCTCTCTCTCTCTCAAATAAATAAATAAAATCTTTTTTTTTAAAAGATTTTATTTATTTATTTGACACAGAGAGATACAGCGAGAGAGGGAACACAAGCAGGGGGAGTGGGAGAGGGAGAAGCAAGCTTCCCACGGAGCAGGGAGCCTGCTGTGGGGCTCAATCCCAGGACCCTGGGATCATGACCTGAGCCAAAGGCAGACGCTTAACGACTGAGCCACCCAGGCGCCCCAATAAATAAAATCTTTAAAAAAAAAAGATGCTATTAAATTAAAAGCTTTATAGGTCAGGCTGGTAACCTAACATCATTGTTTTTATGGGAAAATGTGTTCCACATTCCAAATAATCAACTTGCAAATGATCATTAGGAACAGAGAGTGCTTCTGTAAGTTCCCTGCCAGGGGACAGCCTTTCTGAGTTATTTCACAGGTGGGAAACCAAGCCAAGCCTGGTACCAGAGGAATGGCTACCTTGTAGAAGCATTGCAACAACCACTAATGAAACATACACACATGTTGTTACCAGAACATGCAATATCAAATAAAAGAAAGAAGCCTTCAAACCAGGGTCTTGATAACTGAGTCCCTCCATCCTCAGACTCTATCTCTGACAAAGGTGTCACGGTACACCTACAAGCTCACAGTAAAAGATGGAAATATCTAGAGTTGTAGAGATGTTCCCTAAACCCCGCCCAAAAGTATAATGTAATATCATCTATCACTTGAGAACTAGCCTACATGTTCAACCTGTACCACCTTTTAAAAGGACAACAGCAATCAACATTTCCTGACTACTCCCCATGCCCCATGTTTTGCCCACATCACCCACGGAACACACACTACAACTCTGGTGAAGGTATTAACAGCCCCATTTTCAGAGATAAGCAAGGCTCAGAGAATGTGATCTGCCAGGCAGAGCCAGGTCTGTACAACTCTAAAATCCAAGGTTTTCATCACTACACTGTCTGAGTGAAGTAGTTCTTTCTACTTGTTCCAAAATGTCCTGTTTCAAACTTCAAAGAAGGACCACCTCCCGGCACCTGGCTCTTTCCAGCCACAGATATCCTCACTGTGCCTTCATCTCTTTCAGTGTGCATGGGCTATCTCCCCAGCCACCCAACTTCGGAGACACATTCATCTCACTGAGAATTCTGGTTGGCTTCTACCTCTCACAGGCATTACCAGAACTTCTAAGGGCACAGGCACAGAAGTTTTGTACTAAATGAAGTAAACGTCTGGTTTCAAATGCCCTAAGAGACCATACCCAGCTCTTTGTTCACCTATTTGGTGCAGGGAAGGGGATGCCTTTTTTGATCTTCATAATTTCTCCTTCCTGAGACCTTTCCAGGGATCCCAAAATGCAAGACAGTTAGAAGGAATAATCAATGCGTTCAAAACATTAGCTGTGTTTGGCCAATCTATTCGCCCTGTCAGAATTTTAAATCATCTACGGTCAGTCCTTCCTAGCTCGGGTGCGGGAGGTGGGTGTCAGCAAACAGCCTTCCCCTTCTCCAGGAAACGGGTCTCTCTAAGATCCTTTCCCTAGTACTTACATCCTAGTTATTTGAGATGAACTAAAGCCAGGCCACAGTGTAAAGAAGAGTTACAGATCGTGATGCCAGGGAGGGACTCATCTTGCACAACCAGCTTTTTTTAAATTAGTGGTTTACACAACCAAGGGCAGTTTCTCTCAATAAATTTTCAGCCACTGAAACCCGCCTCCAAGAGGGAGAGAGGGTAGGTGGATGAGGGGTGGGCAGGGTGCGGAGGAGTCTGGAAACCGGGTGGAGGCAGGCCCAGGCCCACAGAGCACCACCCCTCACCCCCTGAGCAGGGTCTAATAAAGAAGGCAGCCACCAGAATCACTTTCGACCCCATCCCTGGCAGCTTCCCCACCAGCTCAAGAGCTGACTTCAGCACAAGCAGCCCAGATGTGGAAAAGGCCTCCCCACTGGCCACGGCGCTGCCCGGGCTCCCCAAGTTCAGGTGTTGCGCCCCACCCGCCACCTCTTCGCAGCCCCGGGTTCTTGCCGCTCCCCAGATCCCCCCAACACGTCTTCCTCAGGGCCCAGCAGCTTCTACCACTGGAGTTCCTCCACCTCCCGACCCGCCCCCTCCCCCGCCGCCGAGCCCCCCCCACACACACCACACCCCTTCCCCGCCCCCGCGCCGGGTGCCGCCCCCGCGCCCCTATCCGACCCCGGCCCGGCCCGGCCCGGCCCGGCCCGTCCTACCTGGCGGCGAGTGCCGCTCGCCCTCAGCCATCTTCCTCCCGCCAGGAGCCGGCCCGAATGCCTGCGGTCCCCTCTCACCTTTCACCCCCGCACCCCCTCCCTTTCCCCGGCTCCACCAGGCGCTCAGAGCTTTCTGAAGAGAAAGGAGGACCAGCCGGCTATAACAGAAAACCGAGAGTTGAAATCACCCCCGTGAAGACGACCGCCATGCTGGTGCGGGGCACTCAGGGAGCATGCCCAGCAACGGCTGGCTCGCGGCTGCGGCGCTCACGGGGAGGCGGCGGCCATGTTGGTGCGGGGCAGCTGGGAGCATGCGCGCCAACGGCCGGCTCACCTCCCTACCAGCCCGCGGTCTGCCCGGCTATGGGAGCGCGGCAGCCATGCTTGTGCGGGGCGCTCCCCACCTGTCATCTTTGACCCTATCCCGAGGCATATTAGAGGACGTTCCCCTATTGACATGGTTGTGTTTTTCTGCCGCTCTGAGAGTAGCGCTCAAGGACACCAAACGGACTGAGAGGGGTGCACGCTACTGCCTCCAACAGCTTAGACAGCCTGTGGAGGTGGGAGACGGCGAGCTGGACAGCAGCCTTTTTTGCCCCTCTTCCTGGGTTCCACCGCCTCGCGGTGTCTCGCGACCACTAACTGCGCCCTCGGCTCCGCCCCCGGCCAGCCCCGCCCCGCGCTCTCGGCTAGCGGCCCGGGCCCGCAACCGGCTGGTGGCCCCGCCCCAAGAATCCTCCTCCCGGGGGCCCCCAGCCCGCCGCCCGCCGGGCCGGGTGGGTGGGCGCCGGGTCGCCTCTACCGGCCGGCGGCGGTGACTCGGCGACCTTGGCCCGGAGACTCTAGCGGGGACCCACCGGCGGCGGCGGCGGCGGCGGCGGCGGCGGCGGCGGCGGCGGCGGCGGCGCAGACTTTGCCCAGTGCGGAGGACCGAGCGGACTGCGTGTCCGCGGGCGGGCCCCGGAGATGTTGGCTTTCGCGGCCAGGACCGTGGTGAGTGCGGCGAGGAACCGGGGCGGGCGGGCCCTGGACGGGACGGGGGGCCGCGAGTCGGGCCAGACACGCAGCTGCGCCGGAATGGAGAAACAGGCCATGGAGGCGACGCGGCCGGGTGGCCACTGTCCTGCCCGGCCAGCAGCTGCTGGGGTGGGATCGGCAGGTGGACTAACCCTGCTTGGCAGAGGAGGGGACGGAGGCTCAAGGTCAGAGATCCGATCGAACGCACGTCGTGTGGCTCTAAACTCCAGCCACCCGGAAAAGATAGTGGGGACCCTGGCTTCAGGCAGCACCTCCACCCTTAGACCCAGAGCCAAGGAGCTGAGGGACTGGGAGTCTCTCCCCCTGACTCACACACCTGTCGCATGCTCAGCCTGAGCCATCTATGCCCAGGCCAGAGCCACTTCTCCAACCTCATCCAGTTGGTCATTCTCCTTGGGCTTATCAAAATGGCCCTTGGGGAACTTTGTGTGGCCAGAGAAATTCATGTGGAGGCCTCAAGCTGGGCGGCTGGGAAGATCCTCTGAACCGGCAGGAGGCAGCAGGTGGCAGCCCCATACCCTTTGTCTCCACCTGTCCCTCCCTGCCAGCTTGTCCATGTCTACCCCAGAATCCTCCCCACAGGGCAGCAAGCAGTGCTGCCACTCTGATTTGAGTTCCTTTCCTCTCTCCTCCAAGCATATCTCTGCTTGTATCTCCTTCTGTCTGTGCCAAGAAGGATGTCCAAACAGACACTCCCTGGCCCAGAGGGCTGACGTTACCCATCTGCTGGCCCAGAGGTTCTTCCAGATCTCCCAGAGACCTAAGGCTCCACATCACCCTTGCCACTGACACCTGAGCAGTGCCCCCATCTGACAGACAGCTTCTAGGTCATCCTCCAGGACCTGCTGGGTGGCCTGATCACTTTACGGCTGGGGAAACTGAGGCAAGGAGAGACTTGGCCAGAATCCCCCAGATCTGATGATTCAAATCTAGCAGAATCCCAAAACCAGCTGCCTCCTCCTTCAGTTTACTTTTTTAGTGCCCGAAGTCCTCCACTCTTGCCCCCAGGTGACAGCTCAAGAGAAGCAGGCTTTGGTGGAAGGGAGGCCCGGAAGGGCTCCAAGAGTCCTGGAGGAAAACGGGATGAGCTCTTAGCAGCCCCTCGCCACTTAATGGCCCTTTCCCAGTGTCTGCTCTTTTGCACCAACCCCAGTTTACAGGACTGATTTCAGGGTTGTGGTGCAATCTCAGTGGCCAGGCGGCTTCTGCCTCCAGCCAAGTTTTCCATCATTAAACAAACCTACGCAGATTCCAACAGGTGGATTTTTAAAATTTCTCCTCGCCCTGGCACCAGACCCACCCAGAGAAGAGAGGAGAACATATTCCAGGTTTCCTTCTACTCTGGTGCCTACTACCGGCCCCTTCACCTGCTCCCCAATCCTCTACTTCTGGCAGCCAACAAGGATGCCTGCCAGTGCCACAACCCTAGATGCCACCCTAGCCACCAAAGCCGTTGCCACTGCCGCCTCTGCGTCCCCCTGAATCTTGGTTCTTCTCTTTCCAGCCCAGGCAAGTGGCTGTCTCTTGCTAGGTTCTGCTCGCCCACTGGGTAGCACAGTTAGGCTTAGAGGCCCAGCCCAAGGCAGAAAGACAGGGCTCAGAACCTCAGTCCTGCCATGGAAGACGGGCAGCAGAAAGAGAAGGTACGGAACGATCCTCCACCACTTGCCTACCCACTGCTGCCCACAGCCTCGGATCTCCTATTTCTTTCTCTGCCCACCTCCAGAATCTCCCCAATTTTCTCTCTCTGCCACCTCTCACCCACCTATCAGGCCATTCAGCTCTTGCTTACCACGGCACTGCCCCTATGCTGCCTCTGTGCCCATCCCGCAGACAGATGAAAACCAAGGCCTGGCCCTCGCCCAAAGGTGCTGTCGTCATCCGGCTCCTTCTGACTTTCTCTTTATGCCTCCTATTTCCCAGCTTGGCAAGGGTGGGAGAAAAGGAGGTGGGGGCCCCTGGGCGGGAGCGGTCACCTCACTGCTTGCTGGCTGGCTCATTGTGCTAGGGTGAAGAAGGTGGGGCCTTGGTGCTTCCAGACAGGTGAGAGGTCGCTGTCAGCTCTGCCACCCCCAACAGGTGCCATTCACCCTGACTTGGTTCCCGGTTACCGGGATCAATGGCCACACCCCCGCCCATCCCCCTCCCTGCATCCCCAGGCCCCAGAGAGGTGGAGACACCTACAGTTTGAGGGCTGGGAAGCCAGGCAGGCACCACCCAAGAGGCTGTCTCTGACCCCGGGGATGGGCACATAAGTGCCCAGGACCAGAGCTTTAGGATTGCCAGGGTCTTCCAGAGCCGGTGAGAGAATGAGCAGGATGTTCTGCTGCCTGCAGGTGAAGCCCCTGGGCTTCCTCAGGCCCTCCTCCTTGATGAATGTCTCCAGCCGCTTCAAGGCCCACCAGGATTCGCTGCCCCGGTTGCCCGTGCCTGCGCTCCACCAGTCCCTGGATCGCTACCTCAAGGCTCTGCAGCCCATCGTGAGCGAGGAGGAGTGGGCCCAGACCAAGCAGCTGGTGGAAGAGTTTCAGACTGCGGGGGGTGTAGGGGAGCGCCTGCAGAAGGGGCTGGAGCGCAGGGCCAGGAAGACGGAGAACTGGGTGAGTGGAGCTCCCTGTTCCCACACGGGTTGAGGGGCCCGGGGCCCTCTCAGAGGCTCAGCTCATGAGAGGATCCCTCGCTGTGGCCTGTTGCCGGCCTCATGCTGAATTTCCTAGCACCGGCTGCTCTGGCACATTCTTTCGTGCCACGGGGTTTCTTGAGCGCTTCCTCTGTGCCTCACACTAGGCCAGTCCCTGAGTGAGCAAGAAGGACACACAGTCCATGGTCCCTTGGGGCTGACATTCAAGGAGGGTGGGAAGCAAGGTGATTAAACAGCATACAGGTGAGTGGATGAGTTTCTTTCCGGCAGTGAAGTTCACCAGGAGAAAAAAGGGAGAGAGGAGAATGGCAGTGTCTTTGTTTGGAGTGGGCAGAGAGGAGGCAGCCTTGAATCTAAGACAGAACGACCGGGGCAAAGGTGGCAAGAGCCTAGCATGTCTAGCAGCCGAGGCTGGAATGTAGAGCAATGGCCTGGGACTTGGGGGTGGGGGGTGCCTCAGAGGAAGGAATCTGGGCTGCAGTTCAGTGGGAGGGGGCATTGGTGCTGTTCAGTGACAGATTCGATCGCCCTGGTTCCTTGTCCCCATCTGTCATGCAGGTGTGCACAGCTCACGAAAATGGGTCCACACTGATGCTCCGTGCACTTTTCTGTATGCATCTTACACCTCAACACGGTGGAAAAGAACCACCCCGACTGCTGGGAGGGAAGCGGGCGTGGGGGTGGGAGGCATGGGATGAGGCTGGCACCGGCACCCCAAGGGAGATGCCAGCAGCGAGAGGGCAGACGAGTCAGTTCCCTCTGTCCCGTGTATGTTCTGGAGGCGGAACCAGTGGCCCTTGCTGATGGGGGTTGTAGGGGAGCCGTCCTGACCTAAAGCAACTGCGTGGCGGGCGGGGCGGGGGGGAGAGGGAGACTGGCCAAGACGGGGAGGGCCGAGGAGGGAACAGTCTTGTGGGAGAGAACCAGAGCTGGGTTCCAGCCATATAAGGTGGGAGATGCTCTGAGTGAGGCAGATGGAGGGCTGGGGGCTGCACACAGAAGGTAGGAGTCATCAACTGGCAGGCGGCATGTACTGAGCCTCGGCAGGCACTTAGAGAGTCTGTGGTCTGGCGGTTTCCCAACATTTTTATCCCAGAACTCCTTCCCACAGAAGCTTCTAGCTAAAGAGGTAGGGGTATCCCCTTCTCCACTCACAGGGCTCTCGTGCCCAGCAGATTCTCAGCGGGGGAATGCCCACATCTGCAGGATCTCCCCTTATTTCCCAGCTCTGGCCAGAGGCCCTGAGATCCTGATGGAGTGGGGGCCCCTGGCTGAAGGGCAGCCCGGCTGTCCCCAAGGGGAGGGAATTCCTGTCTGCTCCTCCCTGACCCACAGATGAGGAAGCTGAGGCCCAGAGAGGTAGATTGAAAGCGCTGAGCCACACAGCTGCTCTCAGGGAGGCCCTGAGCTACACAGGAGTGTCTGGCCGACCAGGAGCCCTGTCCTCAGGTCACAAGTCAGCAGACAGATGCTGCTCCCTGGCCTGCTCTATAACCTGGGCACATCGTCTCCCCTCACCCCTTGCCGGGGGCCCACAGCTGGTGGCCTGGTGCTGCAGGCCAGCAGTTCCCCAAGCAGAAACTGTTTGGTGAAAAGGCAGGTCCCACTGCCATTTGAGAGGGGAGAGGAAACACAGTGGGGGCGTGGGGCGCCTAGGATGGAGAGACTGGCCAGAGAGGTGTTTCAGGCATGCGCTTGCAGGGGCGGAGCGAGGGGGGTAGTACGACCAGCACGTAAGGCTCAAGGATGGTAGTCAGTGGTAGTCTGCACAGCCCGGGGATGGGCGCCTTCAACGGCCTGTCCGTGGCTGGTCCCCAGAGACACTGCTCCCCCAGTGGAAATAGCGCCCCTTGGGCAGAGGACAGACCACCAGGTGGAGACACAGGATGTGGTACCCACATCTTGTCACTAGGGCAGTGATTTACCCTCACAGGGAGCTTTCCCCAGATGGCCCTGACCTGGAGACCCAAGGGAGTGTCTGCACCCCAGTCTGACACCAACAAAACCCAGGCCACGGAGGACCAGGGTCCCAGGGGCTACACTGCACTGAGCCCGTGCATTCCTGGCTCCCTGGAGAATACCTACCTGGGACGGTCAAAAACACATTCATCAGACTTTGTAGATTTTTCCCTTTTTCCCTTTTTTGTCTATCCGGCATATATTTTTTTCTTTCTAAAAGTAGTAAAATCATTGACCAAAAGTGTGTAAGAGGGACACCTGGGTGGCCCAGTCAGTGAAGCGTCTGCCTTCGGCTCAGGTCGTGGTCCCAGGGTCCTGGGATCGAGCCCCGCATCGGGCTCCCTGCTCAGCGGGGAGTCTGCATCTCCCTCTGCCTCTGCCACTCCCCCTGTTTGTGTTCACTCTCTCTCTCAGACAAATAAATAAAATCTTAAAAAAAAAAAAAGGCTTGTAAAAGAAAGGAAAATGATTCCCATTTCTGCCTCCTCCCCTCACCCCACCCCACCCCCACCCGCAGGTTTCCTGCCCAGTCATTCTCTCTGGACTCTTTGGCTTGGCAGTATTGTCTGATTTATCTTGCTAAGGTGGATTGCCTCAGGCGAAGGGGAAATGATGGGGTGCTGCTGGTGGGTTGAAGGGGGTGGGGGGCTCTGGATCTGAGCATTCACTCTGAGGATCTGCGCCCTATAGAGGGGGCAGAAGGGGCCCAGCCAGGTCCCCGCCCACGCCTCACAGGCTCTGGTCCTTTCCCCAGCTGTCCGAATGGTGGCTCAAAACAGCCTACCTCCAGTACCGCCAGCCCCTGGTCATCTACTCCAACCCTGGTGTGGCCCTGCCCAAACAGGACTTTGTGGACCTGCAGGGACAGCTCCGGTGAGTGGCTGCGCCTGGGACGGGGCTCCGGGCATGTCCAGGGCCCTGACGTCCAGTGCCTCAGGACACTGCAGGGGCCCCAGTCCTGGTCATTATCTTTCATCCCCACATGCAGCCTTATGAAGTCGCGAGTATCATCCCTAGTTTACAGATGGGAAACTGAGGCTCAGAGCAATGGTAGGGCTTGCCCAAGAGTACCTTTCAGGGTTGGCTGATCCAGGCCAGAAAGCAGGGTCTTTCTGGCTCTACAGCTTCATAACTGGTCGCCACACTGTGGACCATGTCTCTTCCCTCCCTCTAAACCTGAGGCTGTCCCTCACATCAGTTCTAACACTTCACCTGACTCTCCTCTCTCTCTTCAGCTGGCCACAGGGGTGACCTTTATACACAGTCCCCTTTTCCACATTAGGCCCTGTCACTTGCCCTGGGCCCTGTTCCGGTACAACCAGGGATAAAAATACCAGTGACAGGGATCTCCTGCCCAAGGACCAGCCAGCCAGGGCTACCACCTGCTTCTCTTAAAGGGACCAGGGTACCCCAGGAATTCTGACTCAGACTCCAGCCCGTGGTCCCCATGGTCCAGGGGCAGCCCAGGTGTCAGGCATGATTGGCGTGGCCCAGACCATCCAAGGAGGAAGGTCAGGTTGAGGGAGGTGGCCTGGGAGACACAGAGGCCCCCAAACAGGAAGGTACCTATCAGAGGGGACACCCTGAGCCACTGCCTTTCCATTCATACTCCCTGTCCGTCCCCCAAGGTCCCCAGTCCCTCTATAACTGAGGTTTCAGAGAAGGGTGACCTCCTTCCAGGCTCCAGGCTGCGGTTCAGGGTTTAGGCCCCGTGTGGGTAGAATCCACCAGCACTGACCAGTAAACCAGCTATAATCGTAACTCCGTTCATTACACCTACATCCTGCCATACATCCTGCCAGGGCTTGGCTGAAGCATCTCCCTGGGCCTTCTAAAGAGCCATCCCTCTAGAGATGAGAGAAAGCTGGCTCAGAAGGGCAAGCTGGGACTCAAACCCAGGTCCTGCCCTTGAACTCCTTCGTGCTTACTGCAAGCGGTGAATCAGAAGTGAAGCAATCTGTCTCCTTTGACTAGGCCCCTCCCGTCAGCCCACGGGTGTCCCTGATCAGGGACCTTCCGCGAGGAGTCCACACAGCTTCTGATCTCTAATTGGTCCCCCCAGGTTCGCTGCCAAATTCATCGAGGGCGTTTTGGATTTCAAGGCCATGGTTGACAAGTGAGCAGCCCGCCCCCACCCCCCCCCCCCCCCCCAAATTACCACAGCCCCTCCAGCCTGGGCTGGGGCAAGGCCGATCAGTGGACCGATGCTGGGCTGGCCCAGAGCTCCTCGCTTCCAGTTCCTGTCGGCCCAGCCTCTGTTGGGGTTGGGGAGACAGACTGTGGGGATTGGGACACCTAGGTCCTCTGCTCCCGCTGCTGAGACCGCCGCCTGGTGACACGGTCCCGACAGACCCCTGGAATTGGTGTCCCGGCCAAACAAAGAGGACCCCAGAGGTTGACTCACTGCTTCATCTCTCCTGTGGCAAACTGAAGCACAGAGGGGGAAGGGGGTTTCCAGGGTGACCCCAGCAGGGCCCAGCCAGGGTGGAAGACAGGCCTCCTGACCGCAGGCCAGGCCCTGACCCAGCCCTGGCCCCTGCTGAGTGGGGGTCGGGACACCACTCATGTGAGCCCCCTTCTCAGCCAGCAGCAGCTTCCTGCCGGTCTCGCCCTCTCCCCTGCTTCCTTGCCTGGTGGCCCCCTCACTGTCCCTCTGCCCACCCCCCCCCGCAGCGAGACCTTGCCCGTGGAGTACCTGGGGGGGAAGCCGCTGTGCATGAACCAGTACTATCAGATCCTGTCCTCCTGCCGCGTGCCAGGCCCCAAGCAGGACACGGTCATCAGCTTCAGCAAGACCAAGAAGCCGCCCATGCACATCACTGTGGTGCACAACTACCAAGTGGGTGGGCTCCCAGCCTGCTGCAGGGGAGGAGGGGGGCAGGGCCAAAAGTCAGCCGCCCCACCGCACAGGCCCACGCGTCCCCAGGAATAGGCATGCCCTAGGCGTCCCCACCGGGTGCCCCGCTAGGCCCCAGCCTGAGGGCAGCCAGGAGGGGCCCCGGGCCTGGCCAGCCTGGGGGAGAGCAATGCAAGGCCCTCCCCGCCTCACACCCGTGGCCTGACTTCATCCCCTCGGCAGGGCCTGGGCCAGCCAGCACTGGCTGCAACTTCTGGGCTGCCAAGGCCAGGAGGAAGCAGGGGTGGGAGGTAACTGCGGCCAGTCTGAGACACGCACACACACATACACACACACACACCCGCCTCCCTTCTCTCCACTTGCCTGTGCCCGGATAGTTTTTTGAGCTGGATGTGTACCACAGCGATGGGACACCCCTGACATCAGATCAGATCTTCATGCAACTGGAGAAGATCTGGAACTCGTCACTACAAACCAACAAAGAGCCCGTGGGCATCCTCACCTCCAACCACCGCAACTCCTGGGCCAAGGCATACAACACCCTCATCAAAGGTGCCCCTGGGTGGGGGTGGAAGAAGGAAGAGAGGCCCCCACCAGGCCCTGGGCAGCCATATTTCTCACTGAATCCTCTCAAGTTGGCGCATTTCACAGATGAGGAAACTAAGGCTTGGTTGGGTTTAGTTTCCCTCTGTTAAGTAGCAAGTTTCGGTAACAGTCGAAGTCCTCTGGCTGCGGACCCCACCTCTGCCTCCACGTTCCTTCCAAATCCTGTGTTGGTCAGGGCATTGTCCCCAGAGTCGGACCCCTGTGTTGGCCCTCTGAGCCACACTGGCTCTCCATGTGACCTGGGGCTTCTGTTTTCTCAGTTCTTTTTTTTTTTTTAGATTTTATTTAGTTATGCACGAGAGCGGGGGGAGGGGCAGAGGGGGAAGGAGAGGGACAAGCAGACTCCCGGCTGAGCCCCGGAGCTCCAACTCAGACCTCACGGCCCTGACGCCCTGGCCTGAGCCAAAATCAAGAGTCGGGTGCTTAATTGACTGAGCCACCCAGGCACCCCTCTTTTTTTTTTTTTTTAAGATTTTATTTATTTGACAGAGACACAGCGAGAGAGGGAACACAAGCAGGGCAAGTGGGAGAGGGAGAAGCAGGCCTCCCTCTCAGCGGGGAGCCCGACGCAGGGCCCGCCCAATCCCAGGACCCTGGGATCATGACCTGAGCCGGAGGCAGACGCCTAACGACTGAGCCACCCAGGCGCCCCTCCTCTTTTTTTTTTTTAAGTTTATTTTTATTTTGTTAGAAATTTTTACACCCAACGTGGGGCTCGAACTCAAAACCCTGAGATCAGGTGCTGCAAGGCTCTTCCGACAAGCCAGCCGGGCGCCCCTCTGTTTCCTCGTCTTTTTTTTTTTTTTTTAAGATTTTATTTATTTATTTGACAGAGAGAGACAGTGAGAGAGGGAACACAAGCAGGGGGAGTGGGAGAAGGAGAAGCAGGCTTCTCGCCGAGCAGGGAGCCCGATGCGGGGCCCGATCCCAGGACCCTGGGATCATGACCTGAGCCGAAGGCAGAGGCTTAACCAACTGAGCCACCCAGGCGCCCCTGTTTCCTTATCTCTAATGTGGGTCCGGTATTGGGCCCTGCCTCACGGGGTGCCGGGGGTGGGGGCCGCAGGGTCCTGTTGAGGGTAAAGCTCTGACGCCCACACTTAGCATGAGATGAATGCTCTGGAAGCCTCTGAGGCCTCCCCGGGCCTGACATTCAGCCCCATCTCGCACCCCTCCCACCTGCCTCCACAGACAAGGTGAACCGGGAATCAGTACGCTCCATCCAGAAGAGCATCTTCACCTTGTGCCTGGACGCCCCCATGCCCCGGGTCTCAGACGATGTGTATCGCAACCACGTGGCCGGCCAGATGCTGCACGGGGGTGGAGGCAAGCTTAACAGTGGCAATCGCTGGTTCGACAAGACGCTGCAGGTGAGGACTTGTCGGGGCCAGGACGCACACCCAAACTTGGCCCACTGCAGCCTCAGGACTTCCTGCCCCTCACCTGGGCGTCCCTGGCCTCCCAGCTAGTAAAGCAGGTGGGAAGCCAGCAGGTGGATGTGGCTGTAATTACTGGGCGGTTAGCCTGTCATTAGTGGGCCTGGCCCAGAAACCGCTGTCACCCCTGCAGCACATCAGAGAGAGCCTGGGCTGTGGGGCCAGGCAGAGCGACGCGGTCTTGGCTGTGACTTTCCCTCTCTGCGCCTGTAAAATGACCCCCAGGGAGGGTACTGCAGGGACTCAGTGAGGTGTATGAGTATGGGACGTGCTTGCTGTGGCCTGGAATGGGCCCAAGGCCCCTGCTGAGCGTTAGCTGTTACTAATAACAATAATAAGTCAGCCTAACCCCTGAGATGGCTTCAGAGAGGCGCTTCCCACGGACCCAGCCAGCAGAGAATGGCTCCAGGGCCCTGGGCCTGACAGGTCCCTGCTCCCCTCCATAGTTCATTGTGGCAGAAGATGGCTCCTGTGGGCTTGTGTATGAGCATGCAGCAGCAGAGGGCCCCCCCATCATTGCCCTTGTGGACCACGTCATTGAGTTCACGTGAGTGTGGTTGTCCCACCCTCTACCCAGTTCCCTAGCTCCCGGTGATAGGTGACACACACGGGGGAACGTCCCTCTCCCTTGGACCTGGGAATCTGTTTCTTCAAATGAAGCCAGAGGAAGGAAGGCCTGGGCTTAGAGTCTGTCAGACCTGGGTTTGCCTTCCGGCTCTGCCACTTCCCAGCTACAGGACCTCAGACAAGTCCCCTCCCCTCTGCAGGCCTCCTCCATGTGGCTCCTAGAAAGCTGGAGCGAAGGCATTTTTCTAAGGAGCAAACCCAGGGTCTCCCTAGGCTGGCTCCCTCCGGCCTCGGGGACCTGTGCCCCAGCCCCACCCCAGGCCCAGGGATGGACCCAGGCTCCTGAGGCCTCCCCATGTCCCACGCAGGAAGAAGCCCGAGCTCGTGCGGTCCCCCATGGTGCCCCTGCCCATGCCCAAGAAGCTGCGGTTCAACATCACCCCCGAGATCAAGAGTGACATTGAAAAGGCCAAGCAGAATCTCAGCATGTAAGCACCGGGCACAGATGGTTTAGTTTAAAAGCCCGGGTCCCCGGAGCCTGCCGGGCTCCTGTTCCGGGTCTTTCGTCATACCCGGCTGCTACTGAGCCTGCTCTTGGGCCTTCCCTGGGGCTGGCAGGGGCTGCCAGGTGCCTGCCCCTCACCCACCTCCCTCTCCCCACCCCCCCAGCATGATCCAGGACCTGGACATCATGGTGATGGTGTTCCACCACTTTGGAAAAGACTTCCCCAAGGCGGAGAAGCTGAGCCCCGATGCCTTTGTCCAGATGGCCTTACAGCTGGCCTACTACCGGTGCGCCCCGCCCCCACCCCGCCAGTGGAGGAGGCATGAGGCCTGGGGGTGGAGGCGGGGCAACCTGCCAGGGGGGTGCTCAGCCCCCTCTCCCACCCAGGATCTACAAACAGGCGTGCGCCACGTACGAGAGTGCCTCCCTGCGCATGTTTCACCTGGGCCGCACCGACACCATCCGCTCCGCCTCCGTGGATTCACTGGCCTTCGTCAAAGCCATGGATGACCCCAGCGTGTCGGTGAGTGGTCCGGGGTAAGGGTGGGCAAGCTGGCCTCCCTTCCTATACGTTCTGTCATCACACCATTGATTGAGCACCTACTGTCCTTCCAACCCTTCAACCCCTGAGCGCTGGGAATCTCCCAGAAGGTGGAGTTATGATTTGGCCCTGAGCTTCCTGGCAGCCAAAGACTAAAAGGAACTGTTCGTTCATTCACTCATCTGCAGCAAGCATCTGCCCTGTGGGTCAGGCCTCGGGGAAGGACTGACGAGAGACAGGGCAGTTCCAGTTTCTGCTCTCAGGGGGCGCGGACACTAGTGCTGGCTGGGAAGTGGGCTGCTGGGGTGTGGGCGGCAGGAACAGGGAAGGGACATATACTTCAACTCCCTCACTCCCTAGGAGCACCAGAAGGTGGAGCTGCTGCGGAAGGCCGTGCAAGCCCACCGAGCCTACACCGACCAGGTGACCGAATGACCTCATTTCCCGGCTGTCCATCTGCCTGTCCCTCCCTGCGGCAAATGCTGCTCACCCTTAACACAAACCCCTCCTCCCCAAACCTTGGGGCACTTGGGGCACCTGGAGCCAGGCTGAATATTGCCCTTTTAAAGTTGGAGAAACCGAGGCTCAGCCCAGTGACTTTGTTGGTCCCGGGTTCGCCTCTGGATCTTGCGTCATGCTCTCTCCTCAGTGTCCCGGGAGCCCAGGACACTGACGGTTTGCAGAGTCTGGCCAACAGCAGCGCTCCTGCCCTCTGACAGCTTGGGCGGTGGTCAAGGGGGCTGGAGGCCTGGGGTCCCATCTGGCTCTGAGCACCTGTGTGTGCCAGGCCCTGCCCACGTTCCATGCAGATGTCCATTTTGATCTCACGGCCACCCTGTAAAAGGAAATTCAGTGACCATCCCCATTTTATAGATGAAGACACTGAGGCTCCAGGATGTAAGTGACCTGCCAAGGCCCCATAGCCAGGATGGGGCCAGGCCACCCATCCTGTAGGCCTGTGTTCTTAAATCCTGCCCTGTCCCCTCCCCGGACAGGTCCCTGGGCCTCAGTTTCCCCATCTGTAAAGGGAGGGCTGTCCTGCCTGGATCCTCTGGTCTTGTGAGTCCAAGGGACCACTGCATGGAAGAGGAGCTGCTGCTATAGGCCTTTGAGGAAGGTCAGGGGCACCCTCTGGGCCTGCAGCCGCCGTACCTGATAGCTTTCCCTCTCACAGGCCATCCGCGGGGAGGCCTTCGACCGGCACCTGCTGGGACTGAAGCTGCAGGCCATTGAGGACCTGGTGAGCATGCCCGACATCTTCATGGACACCTCCTACGCTATCGCTATGCACTTCAACCTCTCCACCAGCCAGGTGGGCCACTGCCCCGGAGCCATCTGGGTTTTCCTGCCCTCCGGGCCCCTGCTACTGCCCTAGGTGCCCGGGGGTGGGATGGCACAGACCCCGCTGGAGCTAGACAAAGGCTCCACTGAAGAGAGCCAAAGTCCTGAACATGGTCAGACCTTGGTGGTGGCGTGACCCATAGAGGCCACCCCATGTCCACTGCTGAAGCAGCTGAGTTCTGGTGGAAGAGCTGGGGTCAGAGGGCTGTGCTGCAGCTCAGGGAGACTGAGAAGGAGTCAGAGCCCCCCCACACACACACCCCCCACCGTGGGAGAATCACCTTCATTCATTCATTCGTCAGACACGAAGGAACATCTAAGTCATGCCGTCCAGTGCTGGGCACTGGGACACAGCAGGGACAGACCACCATCCTGTGTCCCTGGGGGCTCACAGTGTAGGCTGGAAGCACAGGGACCAAGGCAGTGACGGCCCCCGCCCCGCCGCCCCAGGAAGTGTTGGGTGTCAGGGGAGGCTCAAGGAGGGAGCACTTAAAGCTCCCTCGGGAATGGCAAGGACAGCTCTGTAGACGGTTGACTCCAGAACTGCGCCCCAAAGGAGGAGGAGAAGGAAGGCATCCGCTGGAGAAGAGGGCAGAGCACAGTGCGAGCAGAGATACAGAAAGGCCAGCTGGTGCCACCGCGGGGCTGGAGGGGAGCCCGTGGGGTAGGGTGGAAGCCTCAGTCCTGTGCTGTCTCCAGGTCCCTGCCAAGACAGACTGCGTCATGTTCTTTGGGCCCGTGGTCCCAGATGGCTACGGCGTTTGCTATAACCCAATGGAGGCTCACATCAACTTCTCCGTGTCGGCCTACAACAGCTGTGCCGAGACCAACGCAGCCCGCCTGGCACACTACCTGGAGAAGGCACTCCTGGACATGCGCGCACTGCTGCAGAGCCACCCTCGGGCCAAGCTGTGAGCCCCCTGTGCTCAGGCCTGCCGGTGTCACAGCCACGCCCACCCCAGGGGTGGGCCGCCCACCAGCGTTCCGCTCCTTTGCTCCCTGCCCCCTGGACCTTGCAGCTCTGACTAATGCAGGGCTGGCATCCCCCAGCAGGGCCTGCAGGCCTGAGCCAGGGCCTTCCATGGGGTCATCCCCAGCATTTGCTGGGGCCCGGGTCCTGGGCTGAGTTCAGAGGCTGAGCAGGACGGAAGGCCCTGGTGCCCGGCGCGTCACCCATGAGCCCACCTCCAGGAAAAGGAAGCCGAAGAGCCCGTCCCTTGCCAGGGCAGCAGACTGGGAAGTCCTTTTCTTGCTAGCTCAGCTCTAGCCAGTCCTCTGCCCTCTACACTGCTGGCTCCCAAGGATCTAGAGCCGGGACTCTCTAGAGCCAGGGGCTCCAGGCCTCCCCGAGGCTGAGGCCAGGGTGCAGGGTGTGCCGGGAAGGGAAACCCAAGGCCTCGACACGGCCCACCCTGCATGGCAGAACCGTCTTCCCCGGGGCGGGGGGGGGAGGGGGTTCTGTGCTCTTTTGGATCATGTGGCCCCTGAGCTCCGACTCGCTCGCTTCCACTCAGCTTGATTCCTGAACCATGTTGATGGTTGTATAACAGTAACATGCAAGGTGATTAATAAAGCAGAAATTAGTTGGTGGAGAGGTGTTTCAGCCGAGCGGGCAGGCAAAGTGGGGCAGACGCTTTGCCTTCTCTCAACTTGGCCTGCATCTGGGAGCCAGCGTGCAAGCAGCCAGCAGGCCCAGAGGCTCCCAGAGCAGCCAAGAGGAGGGTTCTCCGGCTTTGGCTGGGGAGCCGCAGGCCAATGCCGACCTCAGGGCACTTAGCCGGGAATGGCACCAGACCCAGGGCTGCAGTCTCCACTGACTTGGGCCTCCCTGTCCATGGGCTGTGGGTGGGAACGACTACTCCTGGGCGCTGGGGGGCCTCACAGGCGCAGCTGTGGCGGGCTGGGCAGTGTGGAGCTGACTCGGGGCCTTGTCCTGCTGCCCCAACACACACACTGAGCCGGTAGCGGCCGCGGCCAAGCAGCCTTGCTCAGCCTGGCCCAGCCGCAGGTGCTGCCAGGGCCTAGCAGACACCAGGTCGTGCAGCTAGCTGATCAGAACCCTATACATGCCCCCAACCGCCCACAGCTCGCAGGGCCAGGGTGTCCTGCCAAAATCAAGTAGGCTGTTTACGGAGAGAAGAGTCTCCTACTCAGAAGGATACTGGCCCTAGGGAAGGCACCCATGAAACCCCCCAGAACAGGGCCGAGGAGGTGGAGTTGGGAGAGGTCGCAGAGGCGACCTGGCTGACTCGGGACAATCACGTGAGGGTAGATCCTCTGGCTTTCTCCATCTTGCAGATGCGGAAACAAGCTCAGAGATGTTAAGGTCACCAGGCCACTAAATAGCAGAGAGACATTTCCAGAGGAGCCCCCATAGCCAAGCACCCACAACCACAACCCACAACGCCACACCCACTCAGACAACCCGGGGCAGCGGGTGGAGGAGAAAGGAGCCCCGGGGTGGAAACTGGCCTGGACTCGGGGCCCCGAGCTGGTGATGGAGGACAGAGGGCCCCAGCCCGGGAGGCACAGGAAGGCGCCAGCTGGACCAAGGCACTGACAGGTGAAGCTAACCTGTGCTAGGCACTGGGGACCATCCAGCCTGATGGAGCCTCCTCACAGCCACACAGGTGGGGACTCGGTGTCCCCGTTCCCTGATGAGGCTAGGACAGGGTATGCCCCTTGCCCAAAGTCCCAGGGAGCAAGAGGTGGGGCCCAGAGAACGGGGGGAGTGGGTGTTGTCCTAGGCCTGGCCACTCCTCAGGACCCCAGCACGGCCAGTAGGGTGGGGTGATGCCAAGGGAAGGGGTAGGGGAGTGCCCTCGTCTCAGGGGCCGTGAGCAGGAAGGCCTGCCAGAGAACTCCACAGGACACAGCCTCCGCTCTGCCACTGGAGAGCTTCGGCTGGCCCTTGGCTTCCCTGTGCCCAGGTGTCCTCGTCTGTACCATGGAGGTGGTGCTGCTCCCCCAGGGGGCTACTGGGAGTCTCGGGAGCAGGTCCACTGCAGGAGTTGAGTGAGTGCACAGGTGAGCCCTGGTGCTGCAGGGAGGCGCACACCCAACCCGGCCTGGGGCAGCTGGGGAGCAGCGAGAGGGATCCAGGCCAAGGACACTGCCTGGACAGACACCCAGGGCTCCGGAGGCTCGAGTTCTAAGAAGTGCATGGGTCTGAATATAAGGCAAAATGATCCTTCAGGAGTGAGGAACTGCTACAGAGCCTCAGTTCTCTAGGGCCGAAAGTACTGTTTGGAGAAGACACATTTAGCACAGATGACCCCAAGCAGTGTTAAAAGGCTGGGGGTGGGGTGGGGGTGAGCGGAAGGCAAAGGAACGCTGATTTAATCATTCCTGAGGGCATGACATGTGACCTCACACTCTGCAAGTGTTGCATGGGGGACAAGCGTTCTAAAGGTCTCTGGACACTCTGGGAGGTGTTGGGGAGATGACACACTCCTACAGTAGCGAGTTTTTTTTGTTTTTTTTTTAAGATTATTTATTTGAGAGAGAGAGAGAGACTGAGAGAGGGAACACAAGCAGGGGGAGTTGGAGAGGGAGAAGCAGGCTTTTGCTGAACAGGGAGCCCGATGTGGGGCTCGATCCCAGGACCCTGGGATCACGACCTGAGCCGAAGGCAGAGACGCTTAACGACTGAGCCACCCAGGCGCCCCAGGATTGAGTTTTTAAATCCAATTGTCTGGATTTTATTTATTTATAAAAATAAATAAAACCAACTGAATGTTATGCCAATGGACACTTGCATCTTGGGATAAAATTTCTAGGGATAGTGTCATGCGCTTAGCCAGTGGACCCAGAGGACTGTTGGCCCCGGGAGCCAGCAGACCCTGATGCCAATGATGCAGATGAAGAACTTGGTTTTGGGGGTGGTGGTGGTTTTCTGTGGGTTTTTTTGCAAAGTGTGAGTGAAAAAGAATGGCTCTAAGTATATTTTGTACAGGGACGCCTGGGTGGCTCAGTCAGTTGAGCGGCTGCCTTTGACTCGGGTCATGATGCTAGGGTCCTGGGATGGAGTCCCACATCGGGCTCCCTGCTCAGCGGGAAGCCTGCTTCTCCCTCTGCCTGCTGCTCCCCCTGCTTGTGCGCTCTCTCTCTCTCTCTGACAAATAAATAAACTCTTAAAAAAAAAATTAAAAAAGCTAATCTGAAGGTTAAAAGATAAAAGTTGTAAATAAATAAATTTTGTGCAATACATTATTAAATTCAAAACTGTGACACAATGAATGAATGAAAGATTACTTTTTACCTAGATCCCCTAGAAGTTTGTCCAGGTTGGCATGAACTTGCTTTGGGCTCTTTTCACTGTGAAAGTGCAGGGGCTGGAGCCTGCCAGGTGAGGTGAAGGCCAGACCACCGAGGGCCCCATACAGGGGGAATCTCCCAAGACAGTGAGAATGGTGTTTTAGGAAGATGCTGAGGAATGGGTTGAAGGGGGCCTGGCTGGGCTGCGGATGAGGGAGCCATGGGCGGAGGCTTCACGGTCTCCAGGGAGGGACCTGGACCCAGAGCAGCCTGGCAGGTGGAACGAGACAGATATTTGAAAGATGTTTATCAAGTATGAAGTAGAGTCAGCTAGGCTTGGGGCCCAGACTGAACGGGACAAGTTGGGCTGCCTAAAGGTGGGGATGGTGGGCAGGGGCGGGGAGCTGTCAATGGGGGTAAAGGCAGCGAGTCTACCTGGGACTCAGGGAACCCCCAGAGCTCATTGGGCAGCCCCTTTCCTTTCTCCTCCCTGCCTGCTGGATTTTGTCCCACCTGTCCTCCAGCTTGCTTGTTCAACTGTGTCCAGTCTGCCTTGCACCTACCTATTGGGTTGTTTCTTAGCTATTCTATTTTTCACATTTGATTCATTTTAACATCTGCCAGATCTCGCTTTAGTTTCCTGTCCCCTACAGATATTTTTAAGTTTTGTCTTTTATTTCCTTAAAACAGTAGAACAATTTAGTCTGTGCCCAATCATTCGAGTATCATCCTGGTTATCTACGGGTCTGCCTCCGTTGCCTGCTTTCTGCTAGTTCTCAGTCACGGCCCCACTTCCTTTTGTACCTGGCCGTCTCGGTCTGTATTTTGTGCACCGTAAAAACTTTTCACACAGGAGCACCTGGTGGCTCAGTTGGTTAAGCGTCTGCTTTTGGCTCAGGTCATAACTCAGGGTCCTGGGATCGAGCCCCGTGTCAGGCTCTGTGCTCAGAGGGAAGTCAGCTTGTCCCTCTCCCTCTGCCCCCGCTTATGCTCTCTAATAAATAAAATCTTCAAAAACTATGTACACAAATAACTCAAGTCTTGGATAAAGTTTCCTCCAGAGATTTGTTTGCTTCTGCCACATACCTGGGGTGAGGTCAACATAACTGAATGTCAAGGTTCTGTGGACCCAGCAGGGATCCAAACCCAACCTCCAGGCTCATGAGAGGACAGATAGTTCTGGTTCACACTGACCCTGACTGAGGGTGATCGTTCTGCATCTCTGCTGTGTGAATCAAGGAAGGAGTAGACTCCCTACCGCGGGCCAGCCCTTGGGGATGACCTGATGCCCATGTCACTTCCACAAGGCCTCCAAACTTACCTGGCTCAGCCTGCAGCTGTATCTTCCAAAGCAAGACACTCACTGAGTTAAACAGGGAGTGGAGGCGGCAGAGGCTTAGGAAGGGCACGCTTGCCCAGTCCTCAAGGGCTGTCCCATGGAGGGGGCAGTGAGGCCGAGGGCACAGCCAGAGCCAGCCGGGACCACACAGCGAGGTGGAGCAGGACTGCCGGAAGGGGCAACTTGTGGCTGAACAGCAGGCAGCGAGGTCTCCTCAGACACCGTACGAAATGTCACAGGGACTGTTCAAACCCCAGGTTTGGGGGCTGGAAGGGACTAGATGTCTTGGAGATGCTTATGATTTTATGGTGTTAACCATATCCCTGCCCCTCAGGGTCGCATGTCCCCACGGCCACCCCCCCAGTCTCCTCTCATAAGCTCAGGCAACATATGCTCGAGCCGCCAGAGTTCAAGGTTTTATTTTAAAACAATAGTAAACAATTTCATTGATTTTTCTTAAATCAAACCACCTCACACTTGGCTTGTCTCAGGCAAAAAGTAAAAAATAAAAATAAGAAAGGAAGGGGAGGAAAACGTGGGGACTAACCAACCTTCCCCAGAAATAGGCCCCTGGTCCTGGCATCTGGAATGGCTTTTGGACACTGTCTTTAACAAATGAGAAAAGAAAGCACCGAAATATTGTGCTTCAGCAGCAGATTAGGAACCTCCACAAAGAAAACGGGTCAGGGGCGGGGTAT